ATCCGATTATACTCCTCTTTATTCTGAAATACCACACACTCATGCTGTTAATCGAATATGTGTTAGATTATCAAAAAGTGGGGTCTCATTGTACTTGTCTTGTTGCACTGAATAACATTTTTTGTTTTCTGACAACAAAAATATTTTTTAAAACTTTGATTTTACCTGGTAATAAGAAGCTGACGAGTTGTGTTAAAGTTTGAGGTCAGATAAGATCAGTTCTACAAGTTATACATTTCACGATTAAATTGTATTTACTAGGATAGTGTTGATTTCGCCATCTAGCGAATCAAATCCATCAACAAACATGTCATTAATGTAGAATATACAAGATATGGAACAGAATCAGATACTACATGTTTTATTTGGTTTACTGACAATCTTTTTGATTGTTAACATCTGATTGAATTTGTTAATAAGAAGTTGACAAGAACAAGTTGTGTTTATATTTTAAGTCAGATACTATTATTTAAACAGGTCCTCTGTTAAACTATTTCTGAAATAAAACCAAACACTTGTTATATTATATTTGTATTAGGATTTTGTCTCCTCGAAAGAAATCAAGGTCTACAAATATTTTATGGATTTGCCTATGCAAGTCTCATTTTACTTGTCTCATCAAACTTTATCAGATAATAAACATCATAAAGGACCAACTTTGTTTTCTAACAAAAAATATTGTATTGAAATATGATTGAATACGAGTTCGATAAGCTGAAAAATAATACAAAAATGTGAAAAATAATAAGTAACTGGAAAACGAGAAATCTTACAATGATAGGTAAAATAGCAATTGTAAAATATCTTCTCAAACCAAACCTTCAAGAGCTTTAAACTGTAAAGTATATTCTATATGGGAAGGTAAACAAGAAAAAGTAAAACGGAGCAAATATAAGACTGATGAAAAAACAAATCCTATGGGGAATCAAACTGATAAAGTTTCAAGAAAAAGGTTTAGTTTTTACATAATGGATAAAAGAGGGTATTATTCATATGAATGATATTATTTACCAGAACGGTAGCATTTGTCAAGATATGATATCAAAAAAAGTATTCTCAAAATCCAATCTAATGTTTCAAATTTCAAAACTAAAATATGCTATACCATATAAATTGTTAAAGGTACTTAATTAAAGGCAACAGTAGTATACCGCTGTTCGAAAACTCATCAATTGATAGAGATAAAAGCAAATCTGGGTTACAAACTAAAACTGAGGGAAACGCATCAAATATAAGAGGAGAACAACGACACAACAAAAACACAACATTAAAATGTAACACACACAGAAACGAACTATAATATAACAATGGCCATTTTCCTGACTTGGTACAGGACATTTTAAGAAAAAAATGGTGGGTTGAACCTGGTTTTGTGGCATGCCAAACCTCCCGTTTTTATGGCAACGTCAAACACAACACCAAAACGACAACATCACATGACAGGACCACAATACAAATAAGTGGGAGAACATATAGGACAAAGAAACACACGAATAATAGCTAACAAAGGGTACTAGGCTTAAAATTCAATCCGTCAGACGTGCGTCTCGTCCACACAAGACCAACCAGTGACGCTGGTAATCAGGTAATCCAATAAAATTAAAATAATTTGATAAGAGCGTGCTGTGTTAACTTCTTAGTCAGATAATATATATATAAATATTGGAATGTCATACATTTCTTACAAAAATGTTTCAAATGACAGTTCTGATTGAAAAATTTACAGTTCACAACATGGGTCTGAATCAAATGATACATGTTATAAATTGTTTTTTACTTGTTTATGTTGGATAATCATTTGACTTGTCTGAACAAGCTATATCAGATAATAAACATGATCAAGGACCAAGTGTCTTTTATGACAAAACATTATTTTATTAAGATATGGTTAAACTTGCTGATAAGAATTTGGTGAGAACATTATGTGTTAACTCCTTAGTCATATAATATAAATTCGACAGTCAGATCTTAAGTTAATCATCTTTTAATAATAGCAAATACTTGTTATATTATTATTATATTATTAATATTTTACACATTTCTTACTACAAATATGTTTCAAATGACAGTTCTGATGGAATTTCTGACATCTCACCACACGGATCTGAATCAAATGATACATGTTGTATTTTGTTTTCTAAGAAGTTGATGAGATCAAGTTATGTTTATATTCTAAGTTAGATATTAATTTTTAAACAGAACTGATGTCAAACAATTTTTGAAAACAACAAATGTTTGTTAAATTGTATTTATATATGGATTGGTCTCAAATGATACATAAATGATACATATATTGTAAACATTAGTTTGAAAAAGAAACAATATTTCTGATTGTGACATTTCTAATATCTCACAACAAAACAGGTTGATGGAAGTGTTGACATCTTACTCAAAACAGGCTGATAGAAGTGTTGACATCTTACATCAAAACAGGCTTTTTATTTGTTGTTGATGTAGAATATAAATACAAGTGCGACCGGTAATTTTCTTCACTTGTTTTATTGATTCCTATGATCTTGATACTGAATCAACACGAAATCATTGTGTTAATCAGACATGTTTAATAAACAACATTTACTTCTTAGTATATATAAAGTCTCACTTTACTTGTCTTATTAAATTTTATCAGATATAAACATAATCAAAGACCAAATTTGTTTTCTGACAAACAAAATAATTTTATTAAAATCTGATTTAACTAATTAATAAGAAGTGGATAAGAACATGTTGTGTTAACTCCTTAGTCAGATAATAGTAATTCCACAGATCTAAAGTAAATCATCTTTAAATAATAACAAATACGTGTAAGCAATAAAACATATGATCTTATTTTGCTCGTGTTATCGAAAGTAATTGATTGATTTTAATATTTTATGCATTTCTTACAATAAATGGATCTGAATCAAATGAGGCATGTTGAATTTTGTTTGCTGATATTTGCTCTGATTTTGGAAAACATCTGATTGCATTTGTTGATAAGAAGTTGATGAGAAACAGTTGTGTTTACATTCTTAGTTTTATACTTTTAGTTAAACAGATTAAATGTAAATATTGCTTTCAAATCAACCAATTTACTGACATTATTATTTTGTAAACATCTGATTTAATTTGTTTAGAAGAAGTTGACGAGAACAAGTTCTGTTAACATTCTAAGTAAGATACTGTTAATAAAACAGATCCACTGTTAAACATTTTTTGAAAAAAAAACAAAATACTTAATCAAGGTGTACAAATATTCCATAGATTTGTCTTTGCAAATTTATTTTACTTGTACTATCAAATGTTATCAGATAATAACCATAATAAAGAACCAAGTTTGTTTTCTTAAAGTTTGTTTTTAATAAAATCTTTTGAACTTGTCTGAATTAGAAATTGATAAAAGCATGTTGTGCTAACTCCTTAGTCAAATGATAATAATTTTACAGATGATAATGTAAATCAACCAAAGGAAATCATTGATATTAGTATTTTATACATTTCTTACAAAAAAATGTTTCAAATGACAGTTCTGATGGAAGTTTTGAAAGTTCAAAACATGGGTCTGAATCATATGATACATGTTATAAATTGTTTTTTTATTTTTTTATTTTGGATAATCATTTGAATTGTCTGATCAAACTGTATCAGATAGTAAACATGATAAAGGACCAGATCTGTTTTCTGACAAAAAAAAATTATTAAGATATGATTTAACTTGCTAATAAGAACTTGGACATTTTGTGCTAACTCCTTAGTCATATAATATAAATTCTACAAACAGATCTAATGTAAATCATCTTTTAATAATAGCACATACTTGTAAGAATTCTATTAAATGGATCTTATTTTACTCGTTGAACGGAATCCATCGATATTAACAATTTACACATTTCTTAAAAACAAAATGTTTCAAATGCCAGTTCTGATGGAAGTTCTAACATCTCACAATATGGATCTGAATCAAATGATACATGTTGTATTTTTATAAGAGGTCGAGGAGATCAAGTAGTGTTTTCTAAGTTTGATAGTATTATTTAAACAGATCTGATGACAAATAATTTTTAGAATCAACAAAATCTTTGTAGATTGTATTTGTATTTGGATATTTCTCATTTTTAATAATCAATTAATACATAAACTGTATACATTATTGTTGAAAATATTGAAAAAATTCAGTGCTGATATTTCACAATAAAAACAGGTTTTTTTATTTGTCGCTAATGTAGAATATAAATATTAGTGATATTGTCCAATACCTGATCAAAGATGGCTGTGATAGAGAATCAAGAACTGAATCAGATACTACATGTTTTATTTTGCTTACTGACATTCTTTTGTTTCGTAAACATCTAATCGAATTTGACAGTAAAATTATATAAATTGGGATCTTATCTTATTTGTTTTATCAAAAGGATTCCATTGGTATTAATATTTTATACATTTCGTTCAAAAAATGTTTTAAATGACAGTTCTGGTAGAAATTCTGATATCTCAAATTAAGATGATACATGTTGTATTTTGTTTTCAGATATTTTATTTTTGGTAAACATCTGATTTGTTTTGGCCGTATTACAAAAGAACCAATGTAATGATAGATAATTTCTCTTAAGTATAAGCCTACTCCTCTTGTTATTGAATCATCTCAAATCACCTGGTTATAATCAGACAGAAAATTATCCTGAATCTCATAATAAAGTTATAATTGTGTTTTCTCACAAACCAATTATTAAAAAAAAAATATTATGTAATAGATCTTTTTAGAAAAACAAATATTTGTTGTATTGTAATTATATTTTGATATTTCTCTACGAAACAAATCAACTGATATAAATATATTATCCATTATTTAAAAGCGATCTGGTTTTTAAGATGATAATCTCACATAGGAACATGTTGTGTATTCGTTTAAGATGTAGAATATAAATAAAAGTGTTACTGATATTTTCATTGACCACTGATTTCTGTGGTTTATATTATACTTCATTTATTGCACAACCTTTGACAGTTTTTGAAGTGTTGATATCTGTTATATGTTGATATTACAGCAAGGATTAACACCATTGTTGTTCGCTGCTTACAAAGGACACCTGGCGATTGTGAAATATCTGATCACAGTTGGCTGTGTTAGAGAAACAAGATCCAAAGTATTGGTAGATATTTTCTTGAGTATAATCCTACTATTTTAACTGAATCATTACACATCTCGTTTTTAATCAGACTGGTTTATCAGACAAGAAATTATCTGAATTTACTTGTGTTGTCATCCTAGATCTAATAACAAACAGATGATACATTTATAGTCGTGTTTTCTCACAAAACAATTATTCAGTAAACATCTGATGTTACTTGTTAATAGTAAGTTCGTGAGAACAAATTGTTTTAACATCTTTAGTCAGATAAGATTTATTATATATTTGTAATGTGCATCATATTTAAAAATAAACTAACAATTACAATTATATAAATGGAGTGTCATATTGATAGTGTCGTCGTACTGTATCATCATTTTTAATATTTTTAGACATTTCTCAAAAAAAAATGTTATTAACATGATAGTTCTGACCGAAGTGTTGACATCTCACTGCAAAACATCTTGTTTATTGGTCTTGTTATAAAGACTATACACACTATTGGGACTGTTATTTTATTATGTTATGTCCACTCATGTTTTGATATATAAATATATACATGTATCGTTTATACCTATCAAATAGTATTGCTTAACTTATCAAACAGTTTTTAATGACAGTTATAACACATTTATGTTGTATTTTGTCGATACTAATTACACAACATTGCCTTGATTGTAACATACTGTGGTATTTTTATAGGATGGAAAAAATGCTTTACATTTGTCTGCTGAGTATGGTCATTTACATGTCACAAAATGGCTGATAAAAGAGGGAGGAATCAGTCCCTTGGATGTGACATACCAGGTAATATGTTATAGTATACTGAGGTATTGTAACAGTCGTCGGAATTTGGTTTAATTTTATGTGTATCCAAATGCAAATAAACACACGTAATATTTACATTTTGTATTAATTATTTAGTAAAAAAAAACTATAATAAAATGACAGGAATGTATCCAAGCACAAATATGACCATCATCAGGCACTATCTACAACCAACCATCAATCAGACATTTAAAACAAAAACAAAAACAACAACATCAAATACTTAAGATACAAAGTAAACATTCAAAACATGACATCCTTAGTTACTATCAATAGTCAACAAAGTACTTAAGATATTGACACTGTAATACTTAACAGTAACTATTTAACATTATATGTCAAGTCACTAATCAAACACTCGACTGCAAACATGTACCACAAAAAATCAACCACCTCATTACACTTAGACACTAAACACCAACTATAAAACACTATATATCACGTCACTAATCAAACACATGACTTAAACATGTACTACAAACAATGATCCACCGCATTACACCGAAACACTAACACCACCATTATTAAATATCAAGTTACTAATCACAACATGACAGTAAACATTAACTACCAACAACCAACCACCTCATTACACTTAAACATTTCACACCAAAGTTTAAACACTAGAATGCCAAGCTACTAGTCAAACACAGATTGTTACAAGTTACTTCCAACGACAACTATTTTCTTACACTAAAACACTTAACACCAACTATAAAAAGCTAGATATACCAAGTCACTAATCAAACACATGACTGTGACCAGGTACTACAAAAAATAACCACGTAATTACACTAAATCACTAAGCACCAACTATTAACACTAGAGATACCAACTACCCACAACCTCATTTCACTGAAGACGCAAATACCAACATTTTTACAGGACAGATACCAAGTCACTAATCAATTAAATGACAGTTACCATGTGCTACAATCTACCCACAACCTCATTATACCAAAGACGCAAAGACCAATACAAGCCAGATACTAAGTCACCGGTCGAAAACGAACCAGATATCAGGCACAACCAACGACTAACTGCTAATAAATCACAAACTATTAAAACCATGCCAATGATTTTGTTTTATCTTATTTTGTCATTAAAAAGAAATATAACAAAATTACCGAACTCCGAGGAAAATTCAAAACGGAAAGTCCATAACCAAATGGCAAAATCAAAAGCTCAAACACATCAACCGAATAAATAACTGTCATATTCATTCGTATAAACAACAGCCATCATAAACTACCAACAACAAATCAAAAACTAAATGTAATGATACAGCTGCAAAACGTCAAAATGTAATTATATTGTATATAAGTCCCTATATATACATTTACCAATCAGATATATGCTAACAATCAGGTAAAGAAGCAAAGCCCTTAATAGATGTTATACCTTTATTATAAAGATGCCATCACCTGTTATTAGTCCACATAGACACAGTCACCAATCAAACACTACCACCAACCAATGAAAAACAAAATATAAAGGGACAGCGACGAATGTTTTAATACTGCTCTACAATTTGCCTTTAACAATTCATATTACGAAAGTATTATCAAAAATCTTCATCATTACAATCAAGCAATGTTGACTCTCATACTCATATTCATCTATATAAGAAAGATATAGAATAATTCAAATGAATCAATATCATAGATAATGTAAGTAAAATAACCATAACAAGTATTTTGGATTCATGTATGTCCGGAGGTAAGAATTTTCGTGGCTTGGGGTAAACTTGTATTTTCTGGATATTTGACTGCACATGTTTTCAAAAATTTGTATACAAGATATAAAATATCTATTCTTGTAGAACAATAACATTAGTGGTTTCCCTATATCCATGAACGTATCAATGTATAAGTGTTTTATTTGCACTTGACATGTTGTAAAACAAAAGAATACCCAATGATATTTGAAGGTAAACATGTAAATTGTTAGATTGTATTTTAGGGTAAAACTCCTTACCAGCTGGCTGCAGAAAAAAACGGACAAGATTCTAGTGAAAAAAGAAAAGAAAAGAACGAAATAATGGACTTTCTCAAGGTACATGTTTTGTCTTATTAAATGGTAGAAAAAGATCACAAAAGTATACAGACTATGTTAATACTTTAAGAGAAACCAACATGGAACATCAAAAACTAATATTGTTGTCATGTGACTATGTAGTATAGGAATCAATCTGAGCTTTAGCAGTATGTATAGTATTGATAAAAACTATCCATCTATTCAAAAAACATTTGTAAGATATACAACAACATTTGTAAGATATACAACAACAGTAATACTAGGTCATGAAGATAGCAACCCTAAAACACAACAAAATAAAAATGAAAATTTTAAAGTCAACATACAGTCCTCAACAATGTACAAATATCTGTAAAATTACCATACGGCAAGTTCTAACATGTCCAATGCTTGGGTATGAGATGCATTTTTTGTTGATATTAGGTAAGATGTCTAATTCATCAAAATCACTTAAACAGGAAAATGTTAACATCAAAATTCTAATGACAGTTTATCTTCCAGAAAGTTAATGAAAATAACTAATCTAGAAAAACCTTATTTTGTCGATCCAGTTAGGTTGTGTCAACACTTTGTTCAATTGATGATTTTGTCAGTCCCAGCAAATATTCTGTTTGCATTGTTGACTCTGATGAGTATATCTTGATTGTTCGATATCTCATTGGACTCAACCATATGTTTGTCTCCTTGAAAAACTATAAATGAAGATTTGTCGATGTTCAAAGTGGTAAAAATGTAGAACACAAGTAAAAGACGAGTTTAAAATGCTGAGTGATAATATATTTTTAGCATTAATATGAAATTAAATATTTAACACTGGGTGTGTTTTTACTTTTTGTGTACAATTAAAGAATAATAAAGCATTGGTTTAACAGTATAAACATCATTATGAGTTTTTTTTTTATTTGTTGACATGGCATGTTTAATTTTGTTGGAATCTTGATATTATTCATCAGTCTAACAAATTTGCTTATAAAACAAATTTTATCCGTGTTAATTACATAATCATTTGATCAAAAACAATCGTTAGATTTCGTATTATGAGTAATGTATGTTAATATTTGACTTCAACCAATGGAAACTACAAGAACATTTATTAAATCAACAATATGCATTGATTGCAGGTGAGCAAGTCAGACATGTTATAACATTTAGTTAAATATCTAATTTGATATCTATTACAAGTACATTTCATATTGTAGACTGTCATGTCAACAGAAAAGAAAAATGTCAGCTCAAAAATCCCACAGCAGAAAGGTCTTTTACAAGTCCCCACAGGTTTGATTGTTTATATGATAAAAATAATATGTGTGATATACATCTATGAAACTGTAACTCACTGTTTTTTTTGTTTTTTTTTTTAAATTCTATATAAAATTTGAAATGTACATTTGTTAGAGATACATAAAGTACCGGTACCTTATCCCGGCCTCGTTAACGTTAGTATATATCATTTCAGTGATAAGGTTAGTACTTGTTAGTACACAATATACAGTTTTGATAATAAATAATGTGTAACAGAAAAAAAAAATTAATATGATATACTATAAATCTTAGTTAAGAACATAAATTTATTTTTCCTGCAACCAAATTGTAGAAGTTTTATATTTGCCTTGTTTATTTGTCAATATTTCGTAATGTTGTTCATTTTTGAAAATTTCAAACACATTATTTGTTTTGTTTTCTGCTCGGATATATAATATACTTTATATAAAGTAAACAATTATGGTTGTTAAAAAATTGTTAATATTGTAATAATTTGTATCGTTTATCTTTTATCCCTACAAAAGTGATGCAAGTGATAGTAAATGATGTCCTATTTTAAGTTTGTCTAGTATTAGTTTTATTTGATCCCAAAATGATTTCAGGTATTTGCATGTCAGAAAGTAATATGCATAATCTTCAATGACATTACATATATATCATAAAGGAGTTTTATTTTTTTTCCAAGAGAAAAGTAATTGTTTGGTTGGTAAAATGTGATGTAGAAATTTCCATCTTAACATTCTCAATGTATTATCTTGGATATAGTTAAAGGTATAGTACAACATGTGTTCTCTTTTCCTTGTATTGTTATTTAAATGAAGAACTCTGTCCCATTTTTGAAATCATATTGTTTTCTCAAATTATCTATTTAAAAGCGAGATGTAGATATCTTTCGAGGAAAATGTTTTTATTGGTACCATTTTTCCTTCTCTATCTTTGAATTTAAATTCGGAGTCGGTAGCGACTTTTGTTTTAATTGATTCTTCTTTTATTAGCTCTTGTAACAACTGTGTTGGTATTGCTTTCATCAATTTAGTATATTCCGAAAACCAATTAGAATGGGAAGATAGTTTATCTAAAATCTTATTTCGATTAATTTTTCCTTTATCATCAATTATATCATTTAAAAATAAAATGTTGCTGTTTATCCAATTTTTGAAAATAAGACATTTGCCATTTAATTTGATATGCTTATTGTCCCATATGAGTTGCTGTCTGATATGCTTATATGTTAGTTGATCTGATTCTTTTTAAGATATTGAGTTTATCCATGATATAAAATTGAGAATGGAAATGGGGAATGTGTCAAAGAGACAACAACCCGACCATAGAACAGACAACAGCAGAAGGTCACCAACAGGTCTTCAATGCAGCGAGAAATTCCCGCACCCGGAGGCGTCCTTCAGCTGGCCCCTAAACAAATATATATACTAGTTCAGTGATAATGAACGCCATACTAAACTCCAAATTGTACACAAGAAACCAAAATTAAAAATAATACAAGACTAACAAAGGCTAGAGGCTCCTGACTTGGGACAGGCGCAAAAATGCGGCGGAGTTAAACCTGTTTATGAGTTCTCAACCCTCCCCCTATACCTCTAGCCAATGTAGGAAAGTAAACGCATAACAATACGCACATTAAAATTCAGTTCAAGAGAAGTCCGAGTCTGATGTCAGAAGATGTAACCAAAGAAAATAAACAAAATGACAATAATACATAAATAACAACAGACTACTAGCAGTTAACTGACATGCCAGCTCCAGACTTCAATTAAACTGATTGAAAGATTATGTCTTCATCATATGAATATCAGGCACAATCCTTCCCGTTAGGGGTTTAGTATGATACCATCATAACATATATGAGAAGAACATAACCCGTGTCATGCCAACAACTTTTTTTTAAATAATTGTGTTTAGTGCCGATGCAAAGACCCTATAAGTGAATCAATATTAACGCCAAAATATGCAATCTTTAATGACCTGACAACAGTATCGTAACTATATCCCTTCTTAATAAGTCTATTTAAAGGTTTTGTTAGCTTCAGAGGTGAATACTGACATTTTTGTGCTTTATAAAGAATATTTCCATAAAAAGTTGGATGTGAAATACCTGAACGTATAAGAAGTCTGCATGTTGAGCTATATTTACGAATGATGTCCTTATACCGATGATAAAATTTAGTAAATGTTTTGACTAGTTTGTGATATCGAAAACCCTGATGTAATAATTTTTCAGTAATACATAAATTTCTCTCGTTAAAATCTAAAACATTGCTACATACACGAGCGAATCGTACAAGTTGAGATATATAAACACCGTAAGATGGTGATTATTTTTAAGTAAAATTCTGGAACAATTTCTTTTAGTTTATTAATCAAAGTAATATTGTTAAAGTCCATTTTGAATATAAGGAATTCTTGTCCAAATTTGTCTAAGTAAAATTTTGGTAAGACTTTCCAATTGGGTGATGAGTCTTCATTATCAATGAGTCTTTTTACCCAATTAATATTTATGGATTTATGGATTCTATATATTTATCTATGTCTATCATTTTAAGCCCGCCAGCATGATAATTTTTACTTATTATAGCTCTTTTAACTTTTTCTGGTTTATTATTACATATAAAACTATATATTATTTTTTTTAATTTTGCGAGGTATTCTTTATCTTTATAATTTCAAATGTGACGTCACTTTGTGCGTTGATGCTTTGGCTAACTCGGCTGTGTATTTTTATATGTTGGATTAAGTTGTTTTATGTAATGTATCCGTTTTTATTCTGTAGTTAGTCCCCACTTCGGTTTTATCATGTGTATCTATTATATAGTCATTTTATAAAATTTACTGTTTGCAAAATTATAAATTATTCTAAATAATAAGGATGTTCTTGTCCCAGGCAGAAAACCCTGGCCGTTTTTTTTTTGGAAGTTTTGGTCCTCGGTGCTCTTCGGCTTTGTACTTGTTTTGGCTTTCAAGCTTTTTTCATCTGAGCGTCACTGGATGGTATTGTGTGGACGAGACGCACGTCTGGCGTATTGAATGTTAAGCCTAGTACCTTTTGTTAGCTATTATTCGTGTGTTTCTTTGTCCTATATGTTCTCCCATTTATTTGTATTGTGGTCCTGTCATGTAATGTTGTCGTTTTGGTGTTGTGTTTGACGTTGCCATTAAAGCGGGAGGTTTGGCATGACACAAAACCAGGTTCAACCCACCATTTTTGTCTTAAAATGTCCTATACCAAGTCAGGAAAATGGCCATTGTTATATTATAGTTCGTTTCTGTGTGTGTTACATTTTTAATGTTGTGTTTTTGTTGTGTCGTTGTTCTCCTCTTATATTTGATGCGTTTCCCTCAGTTTTAGTTTGTAACCCGGATTTGTTTTTATCTCTTTCGATTTATGAGTTTCGAACAGGGGTATACTACTGTTGCTTTTATTTATCAATTTCTGTTACTGATGCAACATAGGTTATATTTGGTAGGATTAGTGATTTAACAAGAGTTATTTTACTTAACATATTTAATTTTCTTTTATTCTAATCTTTAATTATTTTTTCCGATTTTTCGTATTGTCTTTTTAATTTTTTGCACTCATTTTTATTAAGTCCAAAAAATATCCCTAAACTTTTATCGGTTCTTGTGTCCACGTAATGTTTCCAACTCTATCTTTACATGACTTTAAATGTCCGAGCCATATCCCCTCTATTTTATTTCGATTAAGCTTTAGGCCTGAAAGTGATCCGAACATTTCGAAAATGTTCAAAGTTAATGAAACTTCTTGTTTTGAATTTAAAAATAAAGTGGTGTCATCTGCAAGCTGGCTTAACTTTAGAGTATGTGTTTTATTATCTAGTTTGATTTGAAAACCTTTAAATTTGTTATCTTGTCTTAATCTACAGGCTAACATTTCAACAGCAATAACGAAAATTATAGAACTCGAGGGACACCCTTGACGGATCCCGCGCTCAATGCTGAAGGGTCTTGAAATCCACCCATTATTTAATATACAACCCTTTATATCTGTATATAAAGTAATTATTCACTTCAGTAAAGATTTCTGAAAGCCAAATTTCTTTAATGAACAATACATAAATTCCCATTCTAACGAGTCAAATGCCTTTGAACAATCTTACAAAAAAAAGGATTGCCCCGTCTACGTTGAATTTTTCTGAAAAGTCTATAAAATCTTGGATTTGTCTAATATCAAACCCAATATATCTGTTTTTTACATACCCGTTTTGATCACTGTGAATGCTTTTATGCAATACTGGTTTAAGTCTTTTTGCAAGAGAATATGCTCACTGTTAAAGATTTAATAACTGGTTTGGTACACTTGAATGTTATGCTGAACGTATAAGGGATGTTCATTTATGTCTGGTAGTCAATTCGTATTTGGAAATACTTTCATTTGTGTTATTATATGCGGAGCATGGAAAATATTGTGTTACATACTTTTCCGCTAAATGATTTGGTCTGTGCTGTGAATTTTAATATTACTATATGAGCGATATTCAGAACTTCTTGTTTGAATATGCTTTAATTTTCATGCCGATGGATTTGTTCTACGTTTTCACAATTTCTTTGTGAAGTGATGATTTGATTTTTGGTCTGAAATGTTTTGATGTTGAGATGTACAGTGTTACAAATTAAAGATCTGTTTTCTGTCACTTGTTGTTCAATGGTCAAGATTTCACACACGCTATACACTACAACATGACAAAGGTATAGGGAAGTTATATTTAGGCACTTGCTGTTTACAAGTACCATGAATTTTTTATACAGACCTATCATTGGTCTTTTTGATCAAGCATTGTCAAAAAAAAAAAAAATGAAAACAACACGTTAAATACCTTCATGCATCCGAAACACTTTTCTGAATTTAACTTCCCTCAGGTACACTCAAAGCCTAAAGTTTGTATTTAGGAATGAAAATACAACTTTTTAAATGTTATATTCCCAAAGGACTTTTCTGGATTTCTCTTTGTCAGGAACGCTCAGAACTAAATTTGAGAAAGCCGAATATAGATAATTACCTAAGCACGTAAAGAAAGTGTAGTTTCAAAAAGAATTTTTAACATTGCCATATAAGCGGAAGGTTTGGCTAGCCGTAAAACTAGGTTTAGAAGCCATTTGTTCAGTGGTTGTCGTTGGTGTGGTTCATAAGTGTTTCTCGTTTCTCGTTTTTAATGTAGATAAGACCGTTGGTTTTCCTTTTTGAATTGCTTTACACTAGTCATTATGGGGCCCTATCACTTGCTGTTCGGTGTCAGCCAAGGCTCCGTGTTGAAGGTCATACTTTGACCAATGATTGATTTCTTTTTATACATTGGAACTTGGATGGAGAGTTGTCTCATCGGCACTTACACAGCATCTTCTTATTTATATCAACCCACTGTTTTTATTAAAATGTCCTGTACCGAGACACGAATACTACTGTTGCCTTTATGTAAGAGCTATATGAACCAATGTTTTTGACTGAGAGTAACTTCATAAGTTGTATGCGTTCGATAATATCTTAATGACTGTAAGGAACCCAAAAATAACAGGCAAATTAATCTTTGGCAGCTGAACACATAATTTAGGTAGGATAAGTTTATAAGATAAGCGTCATGTGACATATGCACTGTGTTCATGTGAAGGTATATTCAACTCTGTCTTGTCCAACAATACTTTTAAATTGTTTTATACACACTTAGAATTGTGTTTTATGTCTAGTATTGCAATAGATATCCATTGCACGAAATCGCTTGCAGCTTCTTGCTCATACTGGCTGTTTTTATTTCGTTTTTGCAGAATAATAGTTCAGAATTGATATCTTAATTTTGTAATTTATATTAGTTTCGGTTTTAATTTTAACAGGCCCTAAAGAAGAAGTACAGATCTTTTCAGATAAGGAATTTAAAGGTCTGCTAATGAGCGGGGCTTACAAATGCTTTTGGAATAGAATTTTTTTGACTGGTCCATTTGCCGTGGGTAAAACGAGTTTAGCTAAAATTTTGGTTGGAGACGAGGCTCCAGAGGAACGGAAATCTACGGACGGTATATGGATATACCTGGGAAGGGCTGGTATGGACATAAAAGAACGTTGTTGGATTTTCCTAAAGCATGGTATTTATAATTTAAGCAAATAAACAATAGTAATTTACTTATTCAAATGACACTTAAAGTAAGATGTGGAGTTTGAGCTACAGATTGATGAATGTCCCAGAAAGAATAGGATTTAAACTTCAGGTCAAAGTTTGATTCAGAAATACATTTGTAACAACGTGTTTAGTCGGAGCTAATGATCAGTTACAGTTTGAATAAGATTCAAAGCAGAACGAAGTTTGAGTAAGAATTAGAAAAAAAACAAGGTCAATGTTCGCGTCATGCCGAGGAATATGGGCAACTCGAGTTACACTTTGAATAAAACATAGACTTAGATTAAAAATTTGTGTAAGAGTAAAAATTCCAATATTTAGATTGCTAATCCCCCACTTTGACTAAAACAAATAATGCGAACATGATTACATGAATCTGATTTTAATAAAATCTTGCACTCTATTCATAATATAATACATGTCACTTGAGTCTGTTTTCTATGTCACCATCTTAGACTTTTAGGTTGCAATTCTGTAAATACAGACAATGCAATTTCCCATAGGAACTCCCTTTGCGGCTAAAACTGTGACACTTTTACTATCAGTTTCGTGAAAAATAATATCCCAGAACGGAAAGTTTATATGCACCACTATTTTATTCAAAGGTCAAAATATAGGGCTGTGCTGCATATTTTCAACATTTATATGCCCTGAACTTCTAAGAGTTTAAACTTATACTAAAATTCTATACTACCCTTACCTCCATTTTTGGACCTCCTAAGAATTAAAATTTAGCCGCTACCATGTTTTTCTATACTGGTTACATTCCCAAGTGATGTCTCTATGAGATGAAACACAGAGATCATCAATGGGAACCAGTACGTTAACAAATTAACATACCTATGAATATTAAATATCTCCCCAAAAGAGGCGTGGTTTGAGAAACAGCTGTATTTACAAAGTGCAACCTATACAAACATTTATTCAAATAGAAAACTCTCTAAAAACACTTTTTCTCACAACAATACTTATTTATCAGAATTATAGCCTTAAAGAAATGACTGCATATACTCTAAGTCTCCTTTTACAGTACATTTTATACCCCTGCCCCTGTTTCAATTTTTTAAAGATTTTGAAAACAAGACTCTTATTATTGCCAGCTTACCCTATGTGAATGTTTTCTGACATGAACTGTCTAAAACCTGTTTGAAACTATTCTGATAACAAATTGAAAGCATTTTAGAATACTATAAATGTATTGTTTAGTAGTTAAGCATTCAAACATTCAAGATTATACAAAGTATCCAATCCTGCCTGTGTCTCCAGTCCACATCTTACTGTATGCCTATTTGTCAATGAAAGTTCACAATTTCTGCCTCAAATGGTCAGTTTAGAATTCTTGTCACAACAGTATCATCCCTAACCATATATCTAACATAAGTTAGTTAATATATGTCCTAGAAGTGTTTAAACAAAGCCATATTTGCAAAAGTTGTATTTATGAAGATATCAGTCTGGTGCATAAATTCACTAAAAGTTTGATTGAAATGACTGCTTACATCTGATTTTGCATAACTTCCTAGCACAGTTATTGTTTACTTTATAAAAGACCTTTAAAATAAAAAAATCATAGCATTTACAAGTTAAATTATCTGTTTTATGACTCAGGGGTATGCATTTTTCTCTGTGTTTTGCCCCTGGGGCCTCACATTTCCTAATTTTATCCCCTGTTTCTAGCAATGTGGAATATTTACTACATATTTAGGATAGAACACACTATTGTCAGTTTTACTGAGGTCTTTTTGTAATTCTAGCTTGTACTTTTTTATGCCGCAGTCACAAAAAAGCACATTTAGGCGTTACGGCTTACTTTTGGGTTATCGACAGGACAAAAACACCCCACCAGAAATATTTAGGAAGGATCAATGAGTTGCAATTACTGCGAAGAGTAAATATAAGCACTTCTAAACAATTTAAATTACAAATAGGCATATATTATGAATTTATTTTGAATTCAGGGCTTTAAGTAAACCATGCATACTGTAAACTGTGAATTTATGCTGAGTCATCATAGTTAAGGCCCAGGATTTTCTCAATCTTCATGAAATATTTATAAAACTTCATATTTGAGTTAAATTCTTTAAAATCTCTGAGATAAACCAGATTTTGTGAAATTCTGTATGTTCTATTTTTTAACCCTATATAGGTTGCAATTCTGTAAATACAGACAATGCAATTTCCCATAGGAACTCCCTTTGCGGCTAAAACTGTGACACTTTTACTATGAAGTTTCGTGAAAAATAATATCCCAGAACGGAAAGTTTATATGCACCACTATTTTATTCAAAGGTCAAAATATAGGGCTGTGCGGCATATTTTCAACATTTATATGCCCTGAACTTCTAAGAGTTTAAACTTATACTAAAATTCTATACTACCCTTACCTCCATTTTTGGACCTCCTAAGAATTAAAATTTAGCCGCTACCATGTTTTTCTATACTGGTTACATTCCCAAGTGATGTCTCTATGAGATGAAACACAGAGATCATCAATGGGAACCAGTACGTTAACAAATTAACATACCTATGAATATTAAATATCTCCCCAAAAGAGGCGTGGTTTGAGAAACAGCTGTATTTACAAAGTGCAACCTTTAAGACGGATCAGCATTCAAAATTAAAGACGCCGAATAAAATCAATGCAGATGTGGAAATGTCTCCCAGAAAGTAAACATATTTACATGTTATTGATCCCTAAAATGAAAAAAAAAACTTTGAATATAGACAAAGACAGATTCTATTTCATTAAGATACACATTTCTAATTTGAAGTACAAAGGTGAAATCCTTTTTAACCGGTTGATACGGAATGATGGTAGTTTTCATTCAGTGTATTACGCTTGTCGCAATAGTTGACAAACCTGCAGTCGAAGTTATCTATTGCTTTCTTAAATACATAGACAGGATTGCAGTAATAAACATCATATTGGACAATATACCAGACCACAAAAACTACCATCACTCAACTTTCGGAGAAAAGAAATAAACAAAGATAAACACCAATTCACAACACCACATTTTCTAGAGAGCTCGACCATGTTAAGGCACAACACATGGTAGGGGAAGCAAGTTTCACACATTAACCCCCGTCCTCTCGCCTCATTCACATCGTAAGATTATACGTACTTCGATAGTGTATATATACTAAAACGTAAAGTTGCGCTTTACATGTTTATGCGATTATACATTGTTTTACAAACTTTGAAATTTAATTTCGAAAAAAAACAACATTGTTTTTGATGAATGAGATTATTCATTATTAGGAACCATATTGAACGCAACAGTTCAAAGCTTACTCAGGAGTAAAGAAGTGACAGCTACAGCAGGTGCTGTTAAATCAGTTGACGACATAGAAGATCCAGGTGCAGTAAAACATAGCGAGGAGACGAAGAATCAAGATGATGTTACATCTATTCCGGATGCAGGTGCAATAACACAAAGCAGGGACATGTCAAACCCAGGTGCTCTTAATTCTCAGGACAATATTCCCCGTGCTGTCAAAAAGAAGTCAAAGCTCCAAGCTTTCCTTGATCTCCCAAATCGAATACAGAAAGCATTTAAAGGTACAGTTGTGTTATTATAATGTGTGAATATGCAAATGAATCATATATATTTTGAAAGACAAATGTATTATATTTTATGAAAACAATGGTCTTCAGTTGTGCTTGTTTAATCATAAAAATGGGGCAGATATTAACAAGGGGTCAATCTTAAAAAATTAGTCTAAGAAATTATATAGTAAATAAAAAAGATTTAAAGACAAACACGTACAACAGGAAGGTGTATTAATCCCTTTGAATCAGTATAAGGTACTCTAATCTTTGCGAACACTTGCTTACATGTTATTCAATAGTTTTGTTGCAACTCTAATTTGGGGATTTTTGAAAATCAGTGATGTAGGTATTGTACTGACTGCATACAATATAATTTACCCTTATTTACTGGGGATTCAGTATAATTCGTGGGATACTAAATCAATGTTGATTTCGTGGGTATTCGTGAATTAACCTATTATTCTATTTTGTATGAATAGGTTGGCATATATGTTTTGAGAATTCTTTTGGTTTATAATGCGTAATTTTTGTCGAAAAAGCAGGAGAGTCAAAGTTAAAAAATGCAATTTCATATTCAAAAAGACTTTAAGTACATAAACTTTAGCTTATCATATTATCATATTTATATATAGTTGAAAGGACAGACGTTTCCTTTTAATTTTGTGTCCGTCGGATCAGATGAGCTTTGTTTGCTTCACAATTACCTTGTACTGTTTCTCTGTTTTTAAAGAATCTGATAAATAAAAGTAAAATTTCAAAAATACCGAACTCCGAGGAAAATTCAAAACGAAAAGTTCCTAATCAAATTAACCATAGAGAGAAACTGTAAGTAGGAAACTAAGATGTACAGATAATTCATCATGGCGGGAATCATCAGTTGACCTTAAAAGAGGTTTTGCCTGGAATGTTTTGTTTTTATCATTTTTGTACTTTTGTATAAAAAAAAAACTCCTGTAGATAGGGAAATTATCTGCCGAATGAGAATTACGGCAAAATTAAGTCACCTGCTGTTTTTTGACGTAAATCGTGTTTCAGGAAAATGGCCATTGTTATATTATAGTTTGTTTCTGTGTGTGTTACATTTTAATGTTGTGTTTCTGTTGTGTTGTAGTTCTCCTCTTATATTTGATGTGTTTCCCTCAGTTTTAGTTTTTAACCCGGATTTGTTTTTTTCTCTATCTATTTATGAATGTCGAACAGCGGTATACTACTGTTGCCTTTATTTCACAGACGTCAATGCTATTTTTTTTTAATTCTTACTGTTTTGACATTAACTACTGAAAATAAAGAACAACTGTATATATCAAAGATAAATAGCAAAGTAAGATCTACAAATTAGGCAGATTGCCTGAAGTATTCACTCAACTCCCTTAAATATTGAATTTGTCACGAATTTAGTGTTTGACTTTATATGTAGAAACTACAATAGATAAACAAAAACTTGGTCTACCAAAAATAAACAGGAATATCAGGTTTTGGCCATCATAATATCCGTTTCCATTTCTGTTGGATTGTACTAATTTCTAAAACAAATTGCAGATGATCATTACAAGCGCCATGGAAGTAAAGTGTTGTTAACATTGAAAGTATTCAAATTGCACACATGTTTCATTTGAGATCATAAAAATGTACAACTATGCTTTTAGAGTTCAATGACAGACGTGTGATACGTGTGATCACGTGACACACACGCGTATCTGAACAAACTTACAAAACCACCTTTGTTGAACTTTACATGATTTTTAAGTTATTACTTCCTGCAAAAAGTAAAATGTTTCTTTATAGGTAAAACACCCTCAAATATTGAAACTCCAGATGACACACGTGCAAAGATGGAGGACACTAAGAGAGACGAGAACTTGACTGCCATAGATATGTCAGAACAGGACATTATCAAGCTTGTCCGTTCTCAATGCCATAAAGGGGACTACGAAATGGTAATTGTACCTATAGATTTGTGGGATTTTGGTGGTCAAAAAATCTACCACATGACCCACCAACTTTTCGTTACTAGCAGAGGTACATTTCTGCTGATCTTTAATGGCAGCAAAGATATACATGAAGACATACCAGATTATACAGAACTCCCCGGATGTCAGGGCCAACGGAACACAGCAGGTACATAAAAATTTATAAATGAAATGTATTGTCCATCTTATGTACAATAAATGAAATTTATTGTCCATCTTATGTACAAACAAAATATTGTCCCTTCACATACAAAAAGGATATTGCCCATTTACATACAAAGAATATATTGTCCATTTATATATAGATAGCATATTTTAAGATGCATATCTATGATGTATTCATATCTATCTGCTAGAACCGTTGTATTGCCACATTAACCGATGAAGTCTGTTTGACTCAAACAGTTTGGTCAATATAACGGTATTATACCCATCATTCTGTCATACATGGTTAGCTACATATACACACAGAGTAAATCCACTATTTTCTACCGGTGTTCAAAAGTCATGAATCGATTGAGAGAAAACAAATCCGGGTTACAAACTAAAACGAGGGAAACACATCAACTTTAACTACAACTTAACCCACTATTTTCTACTCGTAATACCTGTAGAGGAATGTGATAGCTGATTGATTGGATTTACTTCGGAGTTTAGTATTTTGGTTATTATAATTATTTCATTGTTATAGTCGATTGAAATAATGAATAGTTGATTGCAAAACCAAAACTCTCTATAAGTGTTTTTCAACTTCACTTAACAAACAAAGGATCTCTTACATTTCGACCCCATTTCGTCAAAAAGTCACAGCTGAGTGGGATCAAAACTGGATCGTATGACCTTATGGAGCTGTTGAAAATAAAGCATTGCCTCAAAATGAGTTTTTAAATCATCTGTTATAAGTGGTTAATGCATTGTCATGCGTGTGACCATTGAACAAATGCGTTATGACTTTGTCTTGAAAAACCAGTTTATTTATTTTTCCTGTACCAAGCATATTTATTGTACACAAAGCAAGTCATTAAAAACCAGATAAACTACGTGTGTACAATGAATTCACACATTAATGACAATAAATTTCGCACATTTAAACTGTGAGTTTGGTCAAGGGATTCAAATGGTGTGTCCTGTATTCTGACTAGACAAATTGCATGAGGCAACTCCTATTGTTTAAAAGGAATAAAGTGTACCCTCAGTTCTTTAAATATATTCGTATAGGCTACTACACAAACTTAGGAGGCAAAACAGAAGTGTAATTTGACAGGGACCCATATTTTGAAAACAGCCATACAGACTTTTTTTTCAAACTTAACAAGGCTGATTATAATTTACAAGGTATCTTTTATTTAAATGATAAGATTTTAGAAGTTATAGTATTTCTATACATATTATTTTGTTATACATGGATGTAAATTCGTACTTTCAATATATATAAATGTATGTATGTTTTTTTGTAGTATATCTTATCCATTGGGTCAATTCCGTTCTCACATATTGCAAGACGTTTGCTGAAAATGAAGAGTACCCGAAAATTTTGTGTGTGGCAACCCACAAAGATCTAGTCAAGGTACGTACTATAATGATTTTAAATTGTAATCTTTTTAATCTATATTCACTGTCATCTGCTGTTTCCAATATTAAAACCCCGTCTCGTTATTTTTTTTTTTTTTTTTTTTTTTGGGGGGGGGGGGGGGGGTTAATTAATCTTGTTATCTTGTATACAGCTATATTTAGAAGATGACTATACAGAAGATTAAACCTCTTGGTAAACAGTAATACCTCTACAATGTCCTTCCTCCTTAACATCAATACTAATGTTTTAATAATTCGACTGAAATAACAGAGCTGTAATACCTCTACAATGCCCTTCCTCCTGAACATCAATACTGATTATTTAATGATACGACTGAAACAACAGAGCTGTATTACCTCTACAATGTCCTTCCACCTTAACATCAATACTAATTTTTTAATGATTCGACTGAAATAACAGAGCTGTAATACCTCTACAATTTCCTTCCTCCTTAACATCAATACTAATTATTTAGTGATACAAAAGAAATAACAGAACTGTCATACATCTACAATGCCCTTCCTCCTGAACATCAATACTGATTATTTAATGATACGACTGAAATAACAGAGCTGTAATACCTCTACAATGTCCTTATTCCTTAACATCAATACTGATTATTTAATGATACGACTGACAAAAACAGAGATGTAATACCTCTACAATGTCCTTCCTTCTGAACATCAGTACTGATTATTTAATGATACGACTGAAACAACAGAGCTGTAATACCTCTACAATGTCCTTCCTCCTGAATATCAATACTGAATATTTAATGATACGACTGAAACGACTGAGCTGTAATATCTCTACAATCTCCATCCTACTGAACATCAATACTGATTATTTAATGATATGACTGAAACAACTGAGCTGTAATATCTCTACAATGTCCTTCCTCCTTACCAGCATAACTCAATGACACGACTGAAATAATAGGGCTGTATTTAAAATTGTTTAATCTATGTTTATAATAGTGTGGTAACGAAGACCCGAGAATCTAAAAATAACAGAGCTCTATGTTTAATGTTTTGATCTATGTTTAGAATACTGTAAATTTAGAAATTATTGCGTGGATTTATCATTTCGATTTTATTATTTTAGACTAAAATGCAATTTTAATATATGCAATATTGAAACAAATCCTGTTTTATTCATAAACAATTCAGATTGCGAGTTTAAATTATTGCCATTATAACCCTGTCGCATTTTCGCAATAATAAAACAATCGCATTTATTTCTGAATTTACAGTAGAGTGATAAAAAAGACACGATACTATGAAATCACACAGCTTCATGGTTAAATTTATGCTTAGAAAAGGGGGTTAACCAAGACCTGAGACTTTTAAATAGCAGAGCTTAAAATATTAAGTTTTAATCTGTGTTTAAAATACGGGATAACGACGACCTGAGACTCTAAAATATCAGAGCGTTATGTATAATGTTTTGATCTATGTGTAGAATAGGGGGTTAAAGAAGACATGAGACTTTGAAATAACAGAGCTGTATATCTAATGTTTTGGTCTATGTTTAGAATAGAGGGTTAACCAAGACACCAGACTTTGAAATATAAGAGCTTTATATATATCATGCTTTGATCTACGTTTTAAATACGGGCTTCTGAAGACATGATACACTGTGATAACATGACTCTGTATACCATTATTTTATCTGTTTTTCTTATGGCTGTGGCCTGTAATATATGTTTGGCATGTTCAAAAACATGTACACTTCTAGCCGTAATTTGTTTGTGTATTGTAAAGTTTTCTTACTCTTTGAAGAGTACACGTTTTACAAAATGTCTGATGTTAAGTTTGGCGCTAGAACAGAACGACATAATTCCTCATTGTTATGGTGCAATACCCACCAAATCATAATACGTCACATCCGGTTGCATACGAAAAAGGTTCGAAAAAAGTATTCACTTGAATTTGACAGTTGTATAAAATTAGTCCTTCATTACATTGCAGTAAAATATTTCTGAGTGATAAAAATATATCTGGGTTCAAACCATCATTCTTTTTTGTTTGGTATTTTTATAGGTTATTTTGGAAACTCGAGGTTACATGGTTACTAAACCTTGTACACAGAAAAAAAATGGTGAACATATGGTTGCTTAACTACCAGTGATGGTCATTATCTTATATGCAATGAAATGTTATGTGAATTTCATTCTGTAGTACTGAACAGAATAAAACTCATGCCAAGTATTACTTTATTTGAAACAAAGATAAATTCTGCACATTTTTTTTAAACGTGCAAATTTAACAAAGACTAATAGGGGAAAAACAATGGTAGTATTATAGTTTATTGCAGAAACTGGATGAAACAAGTCGCTGAATTTTCTATTCAACACGAAAAAAAGTATTAACCACAAAAGAAATGGCTCCAACAGATTAATGAGGAAGAAAGATTAAAAATGACACTCCGAAAATTTTATGGACACAATCACGAATTGGTTGGTGTATACGATGTGTCTGTGTCTAAACTAACTAACGACCTTTTTACAACGTCTTACATTGTGGTTTACCATCTACGTCATCTAGTCTGCTAAGTACCAAACGTGACCTATATTACTGGGTTGCCGAGAGTGAATTCGCATTGCTATTAGACGTGTCTCGGTATCTGTACATCCAAAATTCATGTATTTAGTTATGATGTGTCTTTTGTAAGTCTGGTTCGATATTGTTTTATGTCTTATCGGTTGTGATTTGAATTCTATTTAGATTTTCTATCTGTGTGTAAAAAATAAGATAATTAATCAGCTATTCATTTTTTGATAATTTTAAATTTAATGCCACTATATGCACAGGAGTTATTTGTTTTACACTGTTTTCATTTAGAAGAAAAACCGACATGGTTAAATAATACAACTAATTACACAATTATTTACTTCATTCTGTATTAATATTCTTGGCAATTATTAGAAAAGAAAATCATAAAATAACACCATTACAAACTTAATCCCAATTGTATATTTTATTTTTAGAAATTTACATGTGACGTCATTTTTTGTGGCGTTGATACATTCGTGTGACGCATAGTTCATAATTATATTTTTGTGTACTGTGTGTGGAAGATGGCCGTTGTTATTTTGTGGTTTACATGTTGTAACATGTGTAATGTACTGTTACTTTATTTATTTACGTATTTCTCTGTCCTGAGTGTTCTTTCATTTATTTGTACTGTATTACTGTCACGTAATATTATAATTTTAGCGGGTTTTTTAACATTGCTATATAAGCGGGAGGTTTAGCTAGCCACCAAACCATGTTCAAACCACCATGTTTGTCTCAATATGTCCTGTACCAAGTCAGAAATATTACAGCTGTAATCAAATAGTCCGGTTCTATGTATAATTGCGTTTGTTTTTTGTAGCAGCTCAGATTTTTCTGTTATTCCGTTGTTTTCCTCTTATAGTTGATGTGTTTCCCTATGGTTTGGTTTGTGAGCCGGATTTCTTTTTGCTAAATCGATTTATGGCTATTGAACAGCGGTATACTAATGTGGCCTTTATTTAACCTCTCGTGATAATTTGGTATCGCTTTTTGATTACTCTCGTTATTTGAATCAAATATTAATAATAAACTCGCAAACGGTTCGTTTATACTATACTGAACTTGAATAGCTCGACCTAATATCAAGCGTATCCTTTTCGCATATACTTTTGAAAAAAATGTCATGTATTTAAAAATCCCAGCAAAGTTTAAGTAAGTTTTGTTGGGATAAGTTCATGGACACCACTATTTATTAAAGTTAATAGGGTGATACAGAAGACACTAGGCTCTGAAAAAAACAGGGCTGTATATGTAACATTATGATTTTTGTATATTACAGGGTGATGTAGAAGAGCAGAGATGTTTATTGGAAAACTCAATCGAAGCACTCTTTCAAAATCATGGAGGGAAAAAACATCTTCAATATAAACCACTTATGTTTGTGAATGCAAGAAACAAGGATGACGAAGAAATAGTCACATTAAAGAAGCAGTTGGTAGACGTTGCATTAGAACATCCTCGCTGTGGAGAACCGATGCCAACCAAGTTTGTACCTCTGGAATTTCAACTAGCAAGAAAAGTAGAGGAAAGCAAGAAAATACTTACAATGGATGAACTGAATGACATTAACAAGCAAAACGACAAAATGGCATTAACCCCTGCTCAGCTTCAAACATTTCTAAAGGTTAACCATGCTCTGGGAAAACTGATCTACTTTGATGAAGCAGGCCTGAGAGATAACGTTATAATAGATCCTGTGTTTTTGGTTGATGTACTACGTTCCATTGTCACTGATGAACAGTTTTGGCCAGCGCACCTCAAAGAAATGTTAAAAGCTCTCAAAGAAAGCGGAAAACTGTTGAAACAGGACTTATATGAAATATGGAAGCAAGACTGTTTTCGTGAGGTCTGGGCACATAACGATTACATAGTAGATATGTTAGTTCATTTGGACATTATTTGCAGACAAAAAGACGATGAAGCTGGATCAGACTTTTTTTTGGTGCCATGCATGATTAGTACCAAAAGAGAAGAGAGCCAACAGATAGACCATAACAGAAGCATCCATCTGGCTTATAGGTTTAAGGAGGAAGTTGTACCACCAGCTATTTTGTACAGGTTCATTGCCACCTTCATATCAATGTGGAAGTTACGGGTCAGTGCTAAAACCAGTCGTTCGATGCTCTTTACAGACAGTGCTGATGTTACAATTGACGGGGAACACGATATGAGATTTGACATTCGGGGAAACAGATTTATAGTTTCTCTTTCACACAAAGAAAACAAAATCTCCATTGTACCAACAATTGCATCTACAGCTCAGGAATGCCTCACACATGCTATCACAAACATTTCCAATTTCTATTTCTCAGTTTCAGAGGATTCTGATTGTACTAGAGATTTGCCGTTTACCATTCAGATTGGTATAGTTTGCGGAACAGACCTTTGCTTTTTTGACCACACATTGTCATCAAAGGAGGAATGGACATGCACAGAACACAAGATAAAACACAAAACAAATGCTGTGTCAATATGGTTTGCAGACAAGGTATCTATTTTGTTTATACAATACTGATTTTGCTGTTTGAATGACGTGGCATTTATGCTCATGACAGAGTATTGTCAATCCATTAATCTTTCATAATTTTATTCAAAACACTTGTTAGCAGACCTGACCTCAAGTGTTAAATTGGCGATGTTGATCATTTGGTGTCAATCGTTCATTAAATTTTAAAGGTATCGTGTACTCAGAAATTAATCGGTCAAATGAAATCAAATCTGTCCAACCTCATCATTGGGCTAGTTTACAACATTTTGTCCGCTAATCCTGCGTGCTAGGCAATCTGACTGACATGGCTTAAATTGTTTAAACATAGGGTTCAAATGTAAAATGTTTGTATCATCATGAGACTTCTATCGATAGGGAATAGGGGAATGTTCAAAATAATAAGTTGTATCTCCTTTAAATTTACACGAATGATTACAAACTACTCATTGTACACCTTTACATGGACTTATTTTTTTATTTACTATTAATGAAGTGTTTGTAGTCCTTATATATATATCGGATAATATTTTCAAAAATTGAAAAAACCTTATTATTTCCACATGAATATCATAAAAACATTTACTAAGCTTCCCTTTAATCAAGACAAACTCTGTAAAATAAAATGTTGATCCCCTCATTCTTAAATAGTTAACTGGTATAGTTATAGAATATTAAAGTTTTGTTAGCAGTCAACATGTAGGTACAATCTGTGAGTTAAGATTGTAAAACTTAAACTATGTAGTCAAAGTTTCATCAAATTTTACAAAACATGGACAAGAGAATATTGAGCAATAAGTTAGAAAGAACCTTAAGCAAAATCAATATGTTTTTCTTCTTTTCAGTATTCTGGTTTTACTCATAAATTAATTTAGTTGTAATGACACCATAATTTCACACCACAAAGCCGAACGTAGTTCCACTTAACTGTTCATAAATTGTATTACAATCTAAATTACTTTTGCATAATAGCCAGATCAAGCTAACAGTACCACACCTCTAAATAAGGTACTCTCCGTATTTAAAGTAAATCGAACGTTCTCCTCTCCCGCCATTATACAAAAGTTATAGATTGTAAAACAGCAGAAAAAATATTGTTCTTTACTTTTAATAATAAGTGTATGCACATGTCAGCAAATTTAATTCAGAGACTACATGTCATAAGGCCTTAAAGAGGAGTTGTGTATACCATTCAAACACATTAGAAATACATAATACATGCGGTAAATAATACTGACAGGACTTGGTACTTGAATTTTATTGATAATCGAATCAAATAAATACGTAAATAAAACATATCTTCCACAAAAATAGTGTGTTAGAAATGCTATGCATATTATGCAAAAATTATAATCGATAAAGAAAAACTGATAACAGCGAAATAAAAACTCCAGATTGAAACATACCTCAGCATAGCCGAAATTCTCAGTTGACAGCTTATTTGAATTACTACACGTTAATGAAGATTGTTACTCTCTTAGACATTGGGCCAAAATATGGAATATACTTTAGGCAACACAAATGATCACACAGACAAGATCTAGAATTTAGACAAACCGTCGAAATTGTAAGTCTTTTTCTAATAGAAAATATTACCCTTGAATGACATTTTTTTTTATCCATGCATTGTGTTGGCAAAACACTGTAAAAATAAAGAGATTAACTGAAAACAAAAACAGAAAAAAAATATCAGCAATACAAGATTAATATTAGTCTCGAATTATGTTCTTGCTTTCTTGTTTTCAACGTTGGAATTTCACATTTAACCTGTAAGAAACACAGTCTCTTTGAAGAATCTAATTGCAATACCAAATCAGAAAAAAATAAGACGGAAAGGAATAATAATGCATTTGGCTTTCCACAAATTATATACATACACGCTCACTCAACGGTACAGTTGTATAGCTTAGTATACAATAAAAGGCGACAAATATTAATGACACTTACAAAAGGTCCCATGATGTGAAAAAATTAGACTGTTCAAAACGGAGCAGCAATTTTCCGATTTTAACAAACGCTATAGTCAACCAGTACACCTCCAACCAATTACGTGTAATGACGTCATATATTTATTTTTGTTTATTTGTTATATGACTTACATGTTGTGTCATCTGTACTAATATTTGTCTGTTTGTCTTTTATTTTTGGGTATGGCGTTGTCAGTTTGTTTTCGATCTATGAGTTTGACTGTCCCTCTGGTATCTTTCGTCCTTCTTTTACATTATACTTATCTTACAGTTACATACAAAAGATGACAGATGCACTGAAGATTGCCCTGGTAAGACATATCTTTACTATAGTAATATTTTCAATTCTAGCATTGATTGTATAACACCCACCAAAATAATGTTTTTCAGTGAAGGGAGTACTAAGTGTTTTCCTGGTCCGTCTGTTCGTCCGTCCTTACGTCGTGAATTCAGTTTTTGTTATCTTTAAACTTTAATGTGTCTCAACCAAATGTTTTGAAACGTATACACAATGCGTATTACTACATAACACAGGTTAAGTTTGAATTTGGGTCACGTCACTCTTATCTTACCTTACCGCTGAATCTTCTTCCGTCCTTCAGGACAACCTCCATAGGAGTATCTATTGTGGTTTCGTGATTAACCACCACCATCATGAAAATATAAACAGTTGTATGTACATACTATATATATATATATATACAGTTTCCTTTATACAAAGTGTTCTCATGCGATACGATGCTTATGTTTTAATCCAGACAACAGTGTTGGATATAAGTCCCTTTTCACCGTAGTTTCAGCTGACGGCGTTACTCATCTTATCATACAGTATAGTGTGGAGAGACCCACGCTTACTGTACTTTCAGGATTCGTTCACATTCAGCTTTGATATCGCAGTATAGTGTGGTGAGACCCACACTAACTACATATCATTGTACTTTTTTGATGGATTATAACCTTGTTTTCACTAATTAGTTTTTATGAATCTGGTCAATGATGGGCGATTATCTTTTTAATTTAACTTTCTATTTCTCTTTTAGTTAATATATCGTCCTAGCTCTAATGAAGTATAGGGCAAAGCAAAATTTTCGAGATATAAATTCACAAATCTGCTCTAGTTTCTTGTTTAAGACTATATCTGGCCAAAGACGTTTATTTTTTTTTTAATTATCGGTCTTTAGGTATGTCCTTGGATAAGGTTATATGCAAGCGGAGGTTTCATCTGTGTCCCACGGACAAATTATCCATCTGTATAAGTATTTATGTTGCGGCTATTTATAGTTTTTCAAATTGAATAAAGGGGGTAACCAGATATATGACACATATAAAGGATAACCCAACCCATCAACACAAGTCAATCCATTAAAAGTATAACATACAGCCCTTGGATGGTGTAAACTTCCCAAAAAAACGAGTATGGTGTAATGGTGTATGGCATATGGTGCAACGGTAGAAGGTGTATGGTGCTATGGTGTATGGTGTAAGGGGAATGGCGTAATGGTGTATGAGGAATGGTGTGATTGTGTAACGTGCGATCGGGAATGGTGTGAATGAATGGTGTACGACATTTCATTGGTTGAAACCGAAGTTCATTTTATTTTAATTTTTCGGATTGTAAACATAAACTATAATAATAATCTTATTGTTCTTTTTTCCGAGTATAGAAAATTAATTTACTCGTTAGACTCTATGTTATAGATATAATACACGTATTAAAATTATTATATTTTTTTTCATATTCTTATTTACATTAAACAATGGCTATAAAATTACACACTTGTGATCAAATGCAGTTATCATAAAAGAAAGGATTTTTTTTAAACTAGAAGGCGGATAGAAAGGTTATCTACGCATCGGAACAATATTTTTATATCATGGGTTATCAACATCATTTTTAACTTTGCTTCGTTCCCCATTTTTGACAGTCTCTTTATAAATATTTCATCGTGATTTACCTTTGTTTGCCTTAGATTTACGATTCTGTGTTCCAAAAAATGTTCAAAGGAAAATTGTACAGTGTTATTGCACATAAGGTGTTGTATAATTATGAACAATCTCGTCAATTTCGTTAGATATGTATTTACGGATTATAAATAATATCTTCAACGTCAGAAACAAATATACTTATGTGAACAGGAATGAAATATTTGCCACTTGATATTTAGCCTACAACAAAATCAACCAACAGACATAATATACTAACAGTCTACTTTTCCTAGAAGAGAACTTCTCATACTTTTCAGTATAAAGTACAAATAAAATCTGTCATGTCAGTCACAATGTTGGATGCTGGAGTGGAATAGTTTTATTATACAAACCATCTTGAACTACTGAGTTTAAATCATCACACCTCAGCAAGCACGACTAATTTATGCGCAGACCAACCCATCACACAATAGCCCAAAAAGAATCTGTGACGTACCCATCCATATTCAGAAGTGGGAAATATAGATACTGATACTGACTTTAGTGACAGTTTTATATTACGAATACAGAGATGAAATGCTGGCACTCTAAATTAAAACGGACAAGATTTTGTAGTCATTGTTTTCCAATATTTCTGTCATATGTATTATATAAGCCATCCTAACATCAAAATAGTATTGCATTATATTGCGAATATATATATTTACATACTAAAGTGTAAATATGGTCAATTTTTGTTGATGCGTTTAAATAATTTTGTTATACTAGTCAGCCTTAGGTATCAAAATTACTGAAATGTTGTATCCGAGACAATATTTTGAATAAAAAGAGGACATGCTGGCAATCTAGATTGATGGGGATAATTTGTGTTGTCATTGTGTTGCAATGTTGCTGTCATTTGTATTATACGATCCCTTCTGACAATAAGATATAGCTGATTTACTATGTGGTCATATAGATATACATAATATTAAAAGTGCAAATATGGTCAGTTTTGGTTGATGCCTTAAAATAATTGTGTTATACAAGTCAGCCTGAGGTATCAAAACTAATGAAATTTTCTTGCAAGACAATATTTTGAATAAAAAGAGGACATGCTGGCTATCTAGATTGATGGGGACAAGTTGTTGTTGTCATTGTATTGCAATGTTGCGGTCATTTTTTATTATACAATCCATCCTGACAAAAATATTGCTGATTTACTATGCGGCTATATAGATTTACATAATAAAGTGCAAATATGGTCAGTTTTTGTTGATGCGTTTAAATAACTTTGTTATAATAGTCAGCCTGAGGTATAAAAACTACTGAAATTTTGTTGCGAGACAATATTTTGAATAAAAAGAGGACATGCTGGCAATCTAGATTGATGGGGAAAAATTTTTGTTGTCATTGTACATGTTGTATTGCAATGTTGCTGTCATTTGTATTATACAATCCATCCTGACATCAAAATATTGCTGATTTACTATGAGGCTACATAGATTTACATAATAAAGTGAAAATATGGTCAGTTTTTGTTGATGCGTTAAAATAATATTGTTATATGAGTCAGCCTGAGGTATCAAAATTACTGAAATTTTGTTGCGAGACAATATTTTTAATAAAAAGAGGACAAAAATATTTCCAAATGTTTTAACCCTAAATAAATTAACAGATTGACACATTCCCCATTTCTATTCTAAATTTTATAATTAAGTGCAAATATGGTCAGTTTTGGTTAATGCGTTAAAATAATTTTGTTGTACATGTACCAGTCAGCCTGAAGTATCAAAACTACAGATAATATATATATATGTTCCTGAGACAGTAAAAAAATGTTATATTGGAGCCAGTCTGAGATGTGAAAACTACTGATTGTTTGTGATGATTCAATTATTTAAATAAAAAAGGACATGCATACTTGCACTGTTGATTGGTGCGGAAAAAGAAATATTATTAATATTACGCTGGCCATAAGCATGATTAACTGTACACCAATATTGCTTTCAATTATCATGATTATTTTATATGATCTAAGTACTATTCGTTTTTGGCATTGTTTGTCGATTTTATCTGAAAACCAAGTTTATAAGATTTACGCTACATTTTAAAACCGATAATAATATCATTGTAACCAATATCGTTTTTAATTTATAGATAGACAGATCGCGGATAAATTTGCATTACAAGCAAAGTTTTATGCGTACTTTATTAACAAATCCATGTATATATATTTAATCTGTATTGTTTATATAACCATCATAGGCATGACCACGGAGGTTTTAATTTTATACATTAATGTACAATATTGTGATAAAAATTAGTTTTTTAAAACAAATAAATAATTTTGTAGTCGCACGCTTTCTTTAAAATTTAATTGCATTATGGGTAATTTCGGATCGTGTAGATAGAATGGGGAATGGTGTATGGTGTAATGTGTAAGGTGTATGGTGCAAAGGTGTAGCGTGTATGGTGTAATGGCACAAGGTGTATGGTGTAAGTGGGAAGTTTACACCATCCAAGGACTGTAGAAACCGAACTCAGAGACAAATTCAGAGAGGGGTGTCCATAAACACTGACAAAATCAAACGCTATTGATCATCGAAAAAAGTACAGAGACTCATGTATTGGCTATACAAGAAACTAAGCAACACAAGTAAACTAGTATGAACAGTAACAAAATGTATAGGACTACTAATTGACCCTGGCCCCTCAGTCATGAACTATTTACTTTGAAACTTTTGCCTAGTTTTCATGTTAACGTTTGTGATTATTTCAGTTTACGAGAACCACCAGTAGATTCCATAAATATTATATGGCCTTGACCCTGGCTCAACTACTTTGACATTTTTGAATAGTTTACATGTTAAACTTTATGTTAAGTCCAGTTTAAAGGATATTTCTAAGTTGATGTTATTTGGTATGCAGTCGTCATATCATCGGCATTTCTTATTTCCACACACGTTTTTAGATCGTGTATCTTCAGTCGTGGTTCATTGAATTTGACTTAGGTGCATTATTGACATGGTATTCTTTTGCTATTTGATTTCAACATTTCCATTATACTATCAATATAACATAGACCAGAAACATATTTCAGTGTCAGATACTGTTTTAGTATTGAAGAAAAAATATATGATAAAAAATACTTGGATAACATTTGAAGTGTGATACTTCCATGAGACAACAACTAGCCACATCAACGGAAATACTTAATTGAAGGTCAAGAAAGAGTTTTCATTGAGAAACATGCACCATTCCTTGTTACGTGTGTTGATTTGACATATTAAATGATATAAAAACGAGACATACAAACTAACAGAATGCAAATTATATATATATATATATTTTGTGTTTGCATCAAAACAGATGATTATTTTTGGTATCAGTAATACATCAATTGATCTACTTTGAGTTACCCTTTAAAGGTAAAGGCAGGCTGTTGGTTTTGTTTTCTTTTATCACGAGAGGATCAAATGTAGTAATGCTAATATTTGTATACCTGACCTATAATATTTTACAGGCTTAGACAAGGTATGGTTAGACCGTCAGCCTGAGGACAAACACCTCGGACGACTGGCAGCTAAACTAACACATGAAGACACAAGGAAAATATATATGCGTTTACAAGAAGTCGAACCAGCTCTGCAATGGGACATTATCAACGAATCAAGCAAGAAAGGAGGGTTCAATATCAAGATTAACGCTCTATATGATTGGAAGAAGAGTTCAAAATATGCCTCATTTAAGAAGCTGCAACAGAGTATGAAGAATGAAGATATACACATTCACAAATTATGTCAGGTACACATTTGACAATGTACATGTTATATTACACTATATTGTGCTTGATTATGATGGTTGATTAAATTTAGTTTAAAACATGCAATGTTTACATTAAAATTCAATTGAAATATGATGTGAAAAAAGATTAAAGACAATGAGACCCGTTAAGAACAGTTCGTTATGCATCAAAACTTTAGCTGACTAAAAAGACCATTTTACCTTTTTGAAAGACTAAGCATCCCTCGTAGTCAACCATCATCCGTTTTCGTCCTAAGATAATAAAAAATCTTCTTCTCTGAAACTTCTGGGCCAAATGATACCAAACTTTACCTGACTGTTCTTTTAAGCATCTTTTTTTTGTTTAACATTGCTTAAAATGATTTGATCAATCAACAATCATTGTCGAGTCATTGTCCATGAAATGTCAGTTTTTATCAAATGTCGTTGTTTTTGGGTATTATATTGAAAATTATAATCAACTAAGAGAAATTCAAACAGTAGAAATAATCCCAACAATAATATCTATAAATAGGTCAATATTGCAAAAAACTTCATTTAACCCTGCTGTTGCCTTTGAACGGTTATTTCTACCCTTTTTGCATTATTTCGGATACTTTAAAAGATAGAGAGACTGCTTTCACATGTCATTATGGTCAGCAAAATAAGGATTACAAATAAATCAGACCTGGCAAAAATAGTCATTTCAACCCGTTTAGTATTTATTGCCCTTAGAAGATGATTTCATTCATTTTTTTCAAAAACCATAATGGATATATATGAAACTATAACTTGCAAACATGTTTAGCAAAATTAGATCTACAAATAAGTTTCATTGTCGAAATTTTCCATTGACCTACTATAGAGTTAATTGCTGTTGAATGATGATGTTTGATTTTTTTAAGAAAGCATAATGGATAGAGAGAAAACAGTAGAAAGTAGAAACAAGGGTTTGGCATATTGTTATTTCGACATAAATCGACATCGCTGAAATCGTCAATTGATTCATTATATTAAAAACTGTGTTTGCCAAAAACAACTAAAAAATAACCCGGTCAGGCTAAATACGGTCACATTAATTGTTGGAGTGTATTTGTAGGTATTTCTTTAGATATTAATTAAGAGATTAAATTAGTATTATAAGATAATGCCAGTTTACTACGCACGTTGGGACTTTTTGTAAAACACACGTATGTGATTACATGATCACATAATATTCCTCTATCAGCATGGTATATTGGAAATTATTTGATACTTGTTTGTGTACACTTAGATGTATCAAGACAGCAATAAAAACTATACACACAATCTAAGCACACAATGCAATGATAAATTAACAGATATGTGTTATTATTGTGAAACCGATTTTTGTGTTTGTAATTGTTGTTTTTCATTTGATTTTCCAGATTTCAAGAGAGGTTAAAAAAGAGTTTGGTAAGTAATATTTTTTTCAAAGTTTAAAACTGCATTACATGATGAAATTATGGTCTAATAAACAACTAAGATGAAATTATGGTCCTACAAAAATAGTATGATGACATTATGGTCCTACACAAATTGTATGATGACATTAGGGTCACACACGAATATTATTATGACATTAACGTCCCACTCAAATAGTATGATGACTGTATTGTCTTACCTAAATATGATTAAGATATTAAGGTCCTACACACATAGTATGATGACAATAAGGTCCTACACAAATAGTATGATGACATGAAGGTCCTACACAAATAGTATGATGACATTAAGGTCCTACACAAATATTATGATGACATTAGGGTCCTACATAAGTAGTATGATGATTTTATTATCCTACACAAATATTATGGTGGCATAGAGGTCCTACACAAAAAGTATGATGACATTTAGGAACTACACACATAATATGATGACATTCAGGTCCTACACAAATAGTATTACATGAGCGTCATACACAAATTGTATGTTGACATTAGGGTCCTACACAAATAGTATGACGACTTTGTGGTCCTACACACATAGTATGATGACATTTATGAACTACACACATGGTATAATGACATTCAGTTCCTACACAAATAGTGTGATACAATTTACAGACATATTTTCATAACATTTGGTCAGAAACATGCAGATAATGATGACGATATTATTCGAAAAAAGAAAACACTTCATTATCAGCTACAAAAATGTATAACTCGGGTTTTATTAGTATCGGTATCCAATACATTGTATTATTTCAAACCATTTCACATAAATAAACAGTTTATGTTTTAGGTCATTTTAATTCTAACCTGTATTACGAATGTTGTTAATTGTCACTTTAAACTTGTAATATGTATTCTAGACCAACCAAGAGACAAGTTGCAACTTAGACCATCAGATTCAAATATACAGAAACTGCCTGATCATATTGGTAATCAAACATTCCAGCTTGGAATAGAACTTGGACTTTCTGTTGTTGAGATGCAACAGATTGAAAGCAACCATGTGACAAATCTTCGTAGCCAAACAGAGGAGGTCCTTAACAAATGGAAGAGACTTCCAGAAGCTACATATGAAGTTTTAGAGAAAGCCCTTCATCGCCTTCAATTGTCTAGTGTGTTATCATACTTAACATATGAAGACGGATTAGAAGAGAAAGTGGAAGTAGGATTAGAGGAGAAAGTAGAAGTAGGATTAGAAGTTAAAGTGGAAGTAGGATTAGAGGAGAAAGTGACAGGTATGTACATTCTGACATATTAATTCATTTCTTAGACATCTATCTATTAATAAAGTTGAAGTTATCTATGTGTCGGTCTGTTTCTTATGACACCACTTGGTGTTGATTATGACAGAACTGTTACATGCCATCACCAACGCAATGTGTGTCGCCAGTCGAGCAGGATCTTTTTCACTTCCAGTACACGTGTGATCATCCCCAGTTTCTCGGGTTTAATTTTGCGCAGTCTGTAGTTGTCTGTGAGGTGTTATGTAGACTGCTATTTGTTTTTTCGTACTTTTTTTCTTCTTGATTTTTTGTTTGCCCACATGGTATATTTCACCTTTTTTTCTCAGTCTACTGCACTTACTGTAGATGTATTTTTTAAGTTGAACTGCTGATTATAGTTAAATCAAATACCTACTGATAGTTTACTAAGGCTTATAGAATAATACTTGTGTTTCAGTTAAAATACTAAAATGTGTAGGGTAAGAAGGTAGGCAAATCATATAATTTCTTAAAAGTTTTTTACTATTTTAAACAGGAGAAACAAACTAGCTTTATCAGTCCTCGTTCCCAATATTTAAGGCAAGCACTAAACTTTAGGATAGGGTTCGAAAAAACACACTAGATCTAATTACTGCTGGTTATAGTTAACTCACATTCCTACTTAAAGTTTACTATAAGTTACCTCCCTTACCCAATATCACTGATCATGTATTGGTTGATTTCGTCATATTGGATTTTCTTTAATTGATTTGTATTAAATCAGACTGTTGGTTTTCTTGATTAAACTGACGCTGTAAGGTGACCTTTAGTTGTCCAAAACGTACGTTATTTGGATCCTTACCGCATCTCCTTATTGTTATGTTATAAGGCAAAATTGTCTATGTGACTGGGATAACTTAGCAATGATTTTTAGTTTTCTTGGTCAAATTTAAGTTTCTATGCTAAGGTGAGTTTCTTATTTAAACTATATTTCAACTATGATCTTTTTTCTTTAATTGATTTTTTTCATAAATCAGACTGTTGGTTTTCTTGTCTCATGTTTCTTGTCATTTGTATTTGTCGGAAACTTGTATAGGAATAAACAATATTTGTTAACAAAGGCCAAACGAGATCTATACCTGGATTCACCCACGTCATTTTGATAATAGGGATTCTTGCAACATCTCCTTATAGTTATAGTATAAGGCAACATTGTCTGTTTGGTTGGGATAACTTGGCCATTATTACGTTTCTTAGTCAACATTCAGTTTCTATGCTAAGTAAGTTTCTTTATTAAAACTATATTTGAACATCGGATAACTACTGTTGCCAGCATATGGTCTATTACAACATATTACACATTGGTAGAAATATTGCCAATTTAAAAACAGCAAGATATAAGAGAACCAATTTCAAAACTCAAAAGCATTCTTGTTAAGACAAAGACAAAAAAACAGATCACAAAACACTAGTAAACAAGGATAACGCAACAATAAACAAGATAACAGGCAGCTGTATTGTTCCTCCTGGCAATTATATAGTTTCATGGTACGTGATATCTTAAACAAGTTAACAGGCAGCTGTATTGTTCCTCCTGGAAATTACATAGTTTCATGGTACGTGATATCTTAAACAAGATAATAGGCACTGTATTGTTCCTCCTGACAATCATATAGTGTCATGGTACGTGGTATCTTAAACAAGATAACAGGCAGCTGTATTGTTCCTCCTGGCAATTATATAGTTTCATGGTACGTGATATCTTAAACAAGATAAAAGACAGCTGTTTTGTTCCTCCTGGCTATCATTATAGTTTCATGGTACGTGATATCTTAAACAAGATAACAGGCAGCTGTATTGTTCCTCCTGGCAATCATATAGTTTCATGGTACGTGATATCTTTAACAAGTTAACAGGTTGCTGTATTGTTCCTCCAGGCAATTATATAGTTTCATGGTACGTGATATCTTAAACAAGATAACAGGCAGCTGTATTGTTCCTCCTGGCAATTATATAGTTTCATGGTACGTGGTATCTTAAACAAGTTAACAGGTTGCTGTATTGTTCCTCCTGGCAATTATATAGTTTCATGGTACGTGATATCTTAAACAAGATAACAGGCAGCTGTATTGTTCCTCCTGGCAATTATATAGTTTCATGGTACGTGGTATCTTAAACAAGTTAACAGGTTGCTGTATTGTTCCTCCTGGCAATTATATAGTTTCATGGTACGTGATATCTTAAACAAGATAACAGACAGCTGTTTTGTTCCTCCTGGCTATCATTATAGTTTCATGGTACGTGATATCTTGCACAAGATAACAGCCAGCTGTATTGTTCCTCCTGGCAATCATATAGTTTCATGGTACGTGATATCTTAAACAAGATAACAGGCAGCTGTATTGTTCCTCCTGGCAATTATATAGTTTCATGGTACGTGATATCTTTAACAAGATAACAGGCAGCTGTATTGTTCCTCCTGGCAATTATATAGTTTCATGGTACGTGATATCTTAAACAAGATAACAGACAGCTGTTTTGTTCCTCCTGGCTATCATTATAGTTTCATGGTACGTGATATCTTGCACAAGATAACAGGCAGCTGTATTGTTCCTCCTGGCAATCATATAGTTTCATGGTACGTGATATCTTTAACAAGTTAACAGGTTGCTGTATTGTTCCTCCTGGCAATTATATAGTTTCATGGTACGTGATATCTTAAACAAGATAACAGGCAGCTGTATTGTTCCTCCTGGCAATTATATAGTTTCATGGTACGTGGTATCTTAAACAAGTTAACAGGTTGCTGTATTGTTCCTCCTGGCAATTATATAGTTTCATGGTACATGATATGTTTAACAAGATAACAGGCAGCTGTATTGTTCCTCCTGGCAATTATATAGTTTCATGGTACGTGATATTTTTAACAAGATAACAGGCAGCTGTATTGTTCCTCCTGGCAATCATTATAGTTTCATGGTACGTGATATCTTAAACAAGATAACAGACAGCTGTATTGTTCCTCCTGGCTATCATTATAGTTTCATGGTACGTGATATCTTGCACAAGATAACAGGCAGCTGTATTGCTCCTCCTGGCAATCATATAGTTTCATGGTACGTGATATCTTTAACAAGTTAACAGGTTGCTGTATTGTTCCTCCAGGCAATTATATAGTTTCATGGTACGTGATATCTTAAACAAGATAACAGGCAGCTGTATTGTTCCTCCTGGCAATTATATAGTTTCATGGTACGTGGTATCTTAAACAAGATAACAGGCAGCTGTTTTGTTCCTCCTGGCAATTACATAGTTTCATGGTACGTGATATCTTAAACAAGTTAACAGGCAGCTGTATTGCTCCTCCTGACAATCATATAGTGTCATGGTACGTGGTATCTTAAACAAGATAACAGGCAGCTGTATTGTTCCTCCTGGCAATCATATAGTTTCATGGTACGTGATATCTTTAACAAGTTAACAGGTTGCTGTATTGTCCCTCCAGGCAATTATATAGTTTCATGGTACGTGATATCTTAAACAAGATAACAGGCAGCTGTATTGTTCCTCCTGGCAATTATATAGTTTCATGGTACGTGGTATCTTAAACAAGTTAACAGGTTGGTGTATTGTTCCTCCTGGCAATTATATAGTTTCATGGTACGTGCTATCTTTAACAAGATAACAGGCAGCTGTATTGTTCCTCCTGGCAATTATATAGTTTCATAGTACGTGATATCTTGCACAAGATAACAGGCAGCTGTATTGTTCCTCCTGGCAATCATATAGTTTCATGGTACGTGATATCTTAAACAAGTTAACAGGTTGCTGTATTGTTCCTCCAGGCAATTATATAGTTTCATGGTACGTGATATCTTTAACAAGATAACAGGCAGCTGTATTGTTCCTCCTGGAAATTATATAGTTTCATGGTACGTGATATCTTAAACAAGATAACAGACAGCTGTTTTGTTCCTCCTGGCTATCATTATAGTTTCATGGTACGTGATATCTTGCACAAGATAACAGGCAGCTGTATTGTTCCTCCTGGCAATTATATAGTTTCATGGTACGTGATATCTTCAACAAGATAACAGACAGCTGTTTTGTTCCTCCTGGCTATCATTATAGTTTCATGGTACGTGATATCTTGCACAAGATAACAGGCAGCTGTATTGTTCCTCCTGGCAATCATATAGTTTCATGGTACGTGATATCTTTAACAAGTTAACAGGTTGCTGTATTGTTCCTCCAGGCAATTATATAGTTTCATGGTACGTGATATCTTAAACAAGATAACAGGCAGCTGTATTGTTCCTCCTGGCAATTATATAGTTTCATGGTACGTGGTATCTTAAACAAGTTAACAGGTTGCTGTATTGTTCCTCCTGGCAATTATATAGTTTCATGGTACGTGATATGTTTAACAAGATAACGGGCAGCTGTATTGTTCTTCCTGGCAATTATATAGTTTCATGGTACGTGATATCTTTAACAAGATAACAGGCAGCTGTATTGTTCCTCCTGGCAATCATTATAGTTTCATGGTACGTGATATCTTAAACAAGATAACAGACAGCTGTTTTGTTCCTCCTGGCTATCATTATAGTTTCATGGTACGTGATATCTTGCACAAGATAACAGGCAGCTGTATTGTTCCTCCTGGCAATCATATAGTTTCATGGTACGTGATATCTTTAACAAGTTAACATGTTGCTGTATTGTTCCTCCAGGCAATTATATAGTTTCATGGTACGTGATATCTTAAACAAGATAACAGGCAGCTGTATTGTTCCTCCTGGCAATTATATAGTTTCATGGTACGTGGTATCTTAAACAAGTTAACAGGTTGCTGTATTGTTCCTCCTGGCAATTATATAGTTTCATGGTACGTGATATGTTTAACAAGATAACAGGCAGCTGTATTGTTCCTCCTGGCAATTATATAGTTTCATGGTACGTGATATCTTTAACAAGATAACAGGCAGCTGTATTGTTCCTCCTGGCAATCATTATAGTTTCATGGTACGTGATATCTTAAACAAGATAACAGGCAGCTGTGTTGTTCCTCTTGGCAATTATATAGTTTCATGGTACGTGATATCTTTAACAAGATAACAGGCAGCTGTATTGTTCCTCCTGGCAATTATATAGTTTCATGGTACGTGATATCTTAAACAAGATAACAGACAGCTGTTTTGTTCCTCCTGGCTATCATTATAGTTTCATGGTACGTGATATCTTGCACAAGATAACAGGCAGCTGTATTGTTCCTCCTAGCAATCATGTAGTTTCATGGTACGTGATATCTTTAACAAGTTAACAGGTTGCTGTATTGTTCCTCCAAGCAATTATATAGTTTCATGGTACGTGATATCTTAAACAAGATAACAGGCAGCTGTATTGTTCCTCCTGGCAATTATATAGTTTCATGGTACGTGGTATCTTAAACAAGTTAACAGGTTGCTGTATTGTTCCTCCTGGCAATTATATAGTTTCATGGTACGTGATATGTTTAACAAGATAACAGGCAGCTGTATTGTTCCTCCTGGCAATTATATAGTTTCATGGTACGTGATATCTTTAACAAGATAACAGGCAGCTGTATTGTTCCTCCTGGCAATTATATAGTTTCATGGTACGTGATATCTTAAACAAGATAACAGACAGCTGTTTTGTTCCTCCTGGCTATCATTATAGTTTCATGGTATGTGATATCTTAAACAAGATAACAGGCAGCTGTATTGTTCCTCTTGGCAATTATATAGTTTCATGGTACGTGATATCTTTAACAAGATAACAGGCAGCTGTATTGTTCCTCCTGGCAATTATATAGTTTCATAGTACGTGATATCTTAAACAAGATAACAGACAGCTGTTTTGTTCCTCCTGGCTATCATTATAGTTTCATGGTACGTGATATCTTGCATAAGATAACAGGCAGCTGTATTGTTCCTCCTGGCAATCATATAGTTTCATGGTACGTGATATCTTTAACAAGTTAACAGGTTGCTGTATTGTTCCTCCAGGCAATTATATAGTTTCATGGTACGTGATATATTAAACAAGATAACAGGCAGCTGTATTGTTCCTCCTGGCAATTATATAGTTTCATGGTACGTGGTATCTTAAACAAGTTAACAGGTTGCTGTATTGTTCCTCCTGGCAATTATATAGTTTCATGGTACGTGATATGTTTAACAAGATAACAGGCAGCTGTATTGTTCCTCCTGGCAATTATATAGTTTCATGGTACGTGATATCTTTAACAAGATAACAGACAGCTGTATTGTTCCTCCTGGCAATCATTATAGTTTCATGGTACGTGATATCTTAAACAAGATAACAGGCAGCTGTATTGTTCCTCCTGGCAATTATATAGTTTCATGGTACGTGATATCTTTAACAAGATAACAGGCAGCTGTATTGTTCCTCCTGGCAATTATATAGTTTCATGGTACGTGATATCTTAAACAAGATAACAGACAGCTGTTTTGTTCCTCCTGGCTATCATTATAGTTTTATGGTACGTGATATATTGCACAAGATAACAGGCAGCTGTATTGTTCCTCCTGGCAATCATATAGTTTCATGGTACGTGGTATCTTAAACAAGATAACAGGCAGCTGTATTGTTCCTCCTGGCAATTATATAGTTTCATGGTACGTGAATCTTAAACAAGATAACAGGCAGCTGTATTGTTCCTCCTGGCAATCATATAGTTTCATGGTACGTGGTATCTTAAACAAGTTAACAGGTTGTTGTATTGTTCCTCCTGGCAATTATATAGTTTCATGGTACGTGATATCTTAAACAAGATAACAGGCAGCTGTATTGTTCCTCCTGGCAATTATATAGTTTCGTGGTACGTGATATCGTTAACACGATAACAGGCAGCTGTATTGTTCCTTCTGGCAATTACATAGTTTCATGGTACGTGATATCTTTTACAAGATAACAGGCAGCTGTATTGTTCCTCCTGGCTATCATTATAGTTTCATGGTACGTGATATCTTAAAAAAAGATAACAGACAGCTGTATTGTTCCTCCTGGCAATTATATAGTTTCATGGTACTTGATGTCTTAAACAAGATAACAGACAGCTGTTTTGTTCCTCCTGGCTATCATTATAGTTTGATGGTACGTGATTTCTTGCACAAGATAACAGGCAGCTGTATTGTTCCTCCTGGCAATCATATAGTTTCATGGTACGTGATATCTTAAACAAGATAACAGACAGCTGTTTTGTTCCTCCTGGCTATCATTATAGTTTCATGGTACGTGATATCTTGCACAAGATAACAGGCAGCTGTATTGTTCCTCCTGGCAATCATAAAGTTTCATGGGACGTGATACCTTAAACAAGATAACAAGCAACTGTATTGTTCCTTATGGGAATCATATAGTTTCACGGTACGTGATACCTTAAACAAGATAACAAGCAGCTGTATGGTTACTCCTGGCAATCATATAGTTTGATGGGACGTGATATCTTAAACAAGAGCAGAAGAAGGAATATTGGATTAGTTAATGTGTGCATATCACTCTGTCAACGGGCACTGGAATCCTAGTTCGTCATCATTCATTGATCGTTATAAAGTCTGATTTATGCAAAACAGGGAAAAAAAACACGTATATTTAGCGAATGGAAAGTTTGTAATCATATTTATCAACACTACATATATAAGCACATGAACAATTATCAAAATAAAACTGAGAATGGTTTTAATCGAGTTCATTAGTCTTTTGAATAACGAAATCAGACTAAAATGTGATAAAAATTAGAAAAAAAAGATAATATATTTTGATGGTGATAGATGTATTCGTGTTGTTCAGTCTTATCTATAAGTTTGTATGTATGTTTCACATTCCAGAGAGAATCATACACGACATACAAATCAGTCAGATTTTAGATTATATGATGTCACATTTGGTAATATCATCAGATGACAGACGAAGCATTGAACAACCTGTTAGACAAGATGATCAGAATAAAGCATTACTTGAAGTAGTGAACAAGAGGGGAGAGCCTACCTATTCTATGTTTGTTGATGCACTACGAACAAGTGGATACACAGATCTAGCAAATGATTTGAAATGTGAATCACATGAAGAAGGCTCAAGTGCAGCATTAGTACATACTGAAAACATGGAAAATAAAGGTATGACCGGTTTTGGTGGGTTTTTTTTTTTTTGGTTTATTTAAATACAAATACAAATTAAGTAGTGTTTTGTATTACATTGATGTAGTATTCATGTTGATTAGTGCATCTTATACAAATACTGATATAGGTAACAGAATTATTTTGTTCTTCAGTTCTGAGTGAATTGTGTGCTCTAACCCAAAATATAATCAACGCAATTAATTTGAGGATTATTTACTAAAGATAAGGTCACTGCTGACCTTCATTTTACGCATGAATGGCTTTAGTAAGATTTTGCATCATGTTCGTGTTGCATATTGAGCATGTGAGCTATTACAATTACTTGGTCTATGTTGTAAACTTTACTGTTGACTTTAACATAATTTGTGTCATGGAATAGTGATCACATGATCTATTACAATTACTTGTTCTACGTTGTCAATGCTAATATTGACTTTAACATCATGTATATCAAGAAGAAACCAAAAGTATGTGTAATACATATCAAATCACATTGGTTAAGTTTAGAGATTACATATTGTTTAGTACTGCTGAGGTCAAGTCACACACAAAAAAACGAACTAAAAAAATAAAAAACATGTGTTTATTTCATATCAAGCCTTCAAAACTAAAAGTATGGTGTCTTATTGTGTATATCCTGATTCCTATAAGGTAGACAACACAACAGGTTTGATACGTTATTAGGCTTGTAAAATTAAGTATTCAGTTGCCCAAATCATTATACAGTGATTCATATTGTTTCACATTTTAATAGAACATACAATAAGAACTCCACTATTCCACATGCACAGTTTTGAATTCAAATAGATTTTTTCAGAAAATATTATCATTGAAAGGACTACTCCCCAACAATGATGCTGCATGCTGTATTTGACCCTCTCTTCTACCAGATATAGTAAAACGCGGGATTGCTCGTATGAATATAAAGCTTATTTATTAGACCCCTCTACCAAGAAATTTGTTTTGCATGCACACGTATAAAAATTGCGGTTTTTATCCAACGCAATCATAAGTTTGAACGTTGTTTTCAATTCAGACTTATTTATGCTTATTTATTCATGATATACAGAGTAGACGTGGCGATAATTAAAATTGTAAAACATTTGTAGGGTTGTCAAATTGGACTGTTCCGATGTATAAAGTTCGTCTACAAAAGAACTACTCAAACATTATTGACAGTATACAGCATGAGAAAATAGTCGATCATCTGATATCACGTGATGCGTTGACCATAGCTGATAGTCAAATGATAAATGCTTGTCCAGCACAAATACAAAAGAACAGGAAATTAATGGACATACTTTTGCATGAAAGTGAACATGAATTTATTGAATTTATCAAAGCTCTACGAGAAGACTCTGTATATGCAGAACTGGCAGATGAAATAGAAAACACAACAGTCGCAAGCAGAGATATATCAACCATTAAGAGTTGTTTCAAATGAACTGAAAGAGAGTAAGTTGAAAGTATATGTATGTGTTTGTTGGATAAACTACACAAAACTTTTTTTTATTTTCACTTAGCTATGACAGAAAGTCGAAGTTTAAAATAATTTGCAATCTTAAATGAATAAGTGAATTAAATATATTTAGCGTAATGATAAAGATTATGCATATCGTCAATTTAACAAAAACAATATTTTTTTAAGATACATAATTAGAAGATGTGGTATAATTGGTAATTAGACAACACCCCAAAACAGACAACATTGCGGGCAAACTAGCAATTATAAGTACGTTATTCAGCTATGAGCAAAATGTATACTGCAAAACAACCTATACACGCCCCGAAATGAGAACAATAACGGTCTGATGATAGTACAAAGCAATTAACGAAATACAAATATGTGTTATAGTTGTTCCGAAAGGATCAGTATTGATTACATTATATCATCCGATTCATTATCAAGTGGTATACTGAGGTGTTCCGAAAGGGTCGGTATTGATTACATTATATCATTCCATTCATTATCCAGTGGTGTACTAAGGTGTTCCGAAAGGGTCAGTATTGATTACATTATATCATTCCATTCATTATCCAGTGGTGTACTAAGGTGTTCCGGAAGGGTCTGCATTGATCACAGTATATCATTTCATTTATCACCAAGTGGTGTACTGGGGTGATCTAGAAGGGTCAGCATTCATTACATTATATCATTTCATTCATTATTCATTATCATATAATATTTAAAAGGATATGAATTGTTCACTATTTCGAAAAATGAAAAACATTAACTAGTTAGCTTTTAATTTATACAGAGACAAGATAAAATACCTGAAACGGAAACCACAAAGTATCGTCAAAGTCTTTTTATCAACATCTCCTTGTTGGACACCAATGAATAAAGAAGATGATGATTGGAGGGAGACGTACATAAATTAACCAAAGCATTATAACCCGATTAAATGTGGACCAATATTTGTACCCTTATATTATGTATTTTTGGGTTAACAACTGATAATAAGAAAATTTGAAATATTTATTTATAATAGCTATAATGTCGAGCTCTCATGGTAGAATTTAAAAGGTATTTTAATTTTATGCTAATTTTTGATAATAGTGTTTACCTGTATATTTATGTTACCTGTAACTTATCATATTGACCAAAATTCCGGGAAGAGTATATTTTTGTATTGTAGTCATTTGTTTTTTGTTTTTTTTTTTTATATTTGCAAAGATAATTTAAAATGTATTTTAGTTTGTAAGTTATTGAATTTCAACTTTAAGGTTTATAAAATTAGATTATTTAAGTGTAGTTATATAACATAACATATATCAAATGTGAAGTTTTCGGGCAGAATTAATAGACATGTTAGCAGTATGTCTGATACCTAAGAAAGCCAACAGATGCAATCGACTTAAAACCAAACATGAATACCAGTGATGTTTGACCCTTCCACAGATAGTGTGGCAGAAACCTAATACTGTGAAGGACATAGACACTAAGGTGTTGATAATATGACAGAAACTGTTTACGTTTATAGTTAAACCTTTTACCATGAAGGTTACAGTACAGACTCTAAGGTGCAGATAGCTTGGCAGAAGGAAAAATCTTCAAAGGAGAGAACTTATTTTCTAATGCTATCTTCAGTTTAAATTAATACGAGCCAGTGTTATCCCTGTGTGTCCTTTCGGAAACTATTGGACCATGCAATTCGAATCAAAATCGATAGAAATTATTTAAGAAAGGTCTTGTTTAATGTTCTCTTTTTTGCTGTTTAAATCAAATGAAAAGAATGTCTGCCTTCGGATAGCAGGGGATGTATGGCAAACTTTGATCGGGTGATTTTTCTTTATTCTTCTCTGAGTGTACAAGGGAATTGTTTTTATCTGTCAGAAATTAATCAGGTGAAGAGCCTTTGTTAATGATCATCATTTGTTATTTATTAGATGGCAAACGTGAAACCATTGGTTGTACAGTACGCAAATCTGTCAAATCCTACACCTGCTGTGAATATTCCAACAAGAAGTTGTGTGTTCTTGTGTCTCAATCTTTAGCATGTTATGTTGTGTCTTGGGACATATTCAGTTTTCTTGCGGTTTATATTTTTGTAGTGGCGTTGTCAGTTTGACTTCGATGTGTGTGATTTGAATGTCTCCTTGGTATATTTTGGCGCGTTGTATTGCATGGCTCTCTAGAAATGGTGTCCATTTGATGAGATAAAGAATTTGACCACCAGAGGCAATCTTCAGTTCTGATTGAAGAAGAACATTAACATCAGACAAACACTTTTTAATTCAAATAGATAATACACAACCAAAGAAGGTGTTGTTTTATTCTTATGGATGACAAACTCAACCACTAGGGGTAATCTTTTATTTTTGATGAATAAAAAACTCAACCACCAAGGGGAATTTGGAATTTTACTGGACGAAGAAGAACTCAACAGAAAGGGGCAATTTTGTATTCTTATGGACGAAGAACTCAACCACCAAGGGCAATCTTTTTATTTCATGGATGAAAAACTTAACCACCAGGGGCAATCTTGTATTCTGATGGACAAAGAACTCAACCACCAAGGGTAATCTTTTATTCTTATGAATGAAGAATTCAACCACCAGGGGCAATATTTTATTCTTATGGATGAAGAACTTAACCATCAGGGTCAATCTTTAGAGTTCATCGACGAAAACATTGACACCGGAGGCAAATTTTAATTCTAAAAGACAACACCACCACAAGCAATTTTTACTTCTATTGCTGAAAAGTTAGGCTACTAGATGCACCTTTTTTATTCTAATTGATTAAAAACAAGACAACCAGAGGCTATTTGTTATTTTATTGCTGACAAACGAGACCACCAGATGCAACTTTTATTTCTATTAACTGATGAAGAACTCACCCAACTGATGCGAAATTCAGGTTTATTGCTTATTTTGTGTGTGTTTTTACATGTCTCTTTGACAAATATCTTATATTGCAACCATTGTAAATAGGAGTGTGAACTGAATTATATTGTATATATATATTTTGCAGTATATTTTTTTTTTGTTACACATGAATTACATTGTCACTTTGTTTTGTACTTATTAATTGACGTAGCTTTTTTGCAACTAACACATGTAACAGTTATCATGATTAGTTGAAGGTACATACAGATAATATTTAATAGTATGTAATTTATCAAGTGGTGTCTTAACTTTTTTTGTCAACGTAAAATGCAGGCGTCTTTAGTAAAACCGGCAAAATACAGTGTGTGCACTCTTGTTAAACTGTGAATGAAAAATCATTGCAACATTTTTTTTATATGTAAAGCTTGTTGAAGAAGTGAACGAGGGTTACATTTCAACATCAATGTCCCATATACTTTCAAATTTACAAATACCTCATCGTACATGTATTTGTTGGTTATAAACTTTCGGAAAGTATGTTTTATCAACTGTTACACGAAAAATGTCTTTTCCGAAATAAGAAACGAAACTGGCTGGACATAAGATTTTTTTAAACTGTGCTCCTTGTATAGTAACCTTTGTCAGTCATACATAGTATGATATATTAGAGTTGTACGTTGTTCTTCACCAAGAGACTTAAATATGTCAAGGGACGCATAATTTGTCAAGGAATCATGAAAACTGTCCGAAAGACACATAGAGTAAATTTAAACATATGACGCTTATCTAGTTATCCTATGAAAATAAAACCAACAAGTTATACATGCGTCCGAAGCTCTTTTTTCGGCTTTACTTTCATCAGGCAGGCTCAAAGTCGAATATTTGAAAACCAAGGATGTATAAGAACCGAAACAGTTAAAGATCTATATGACCAAACCGACATAAACATATCCAAATTCACCTAAGGTCAATTATGCCTGATGAGTTGAAACCTTAAAGGATTAAATGTGGTCTGTATGATATTTGTGATATTTGTGAAAATGGAACTTAAGTTCGTGATAACAAATCAAAAATACTAACAGGCATATATATTTAATGAGTTTAAATACGTCACTGTTTGTGGTACCTGTGATGTCGTTAAAGAAAGATGTCCGTTGTTATTTTGCGGTTTACATGTTGTAATGTACTATTATATTATTTATGTATGCGTTTCTCTCTGTTGAGTGTTCTTGCGTTTGTTTGTACTATGTTCCTGTCACGTAGTGTTGTCATTTTAGCGATATTTTTTAACATAGCCATATAAGCGGGAAGTTTGGCTAGCCATAAAACCAGGTTCAACCAACAATTTTTTTTTAAATGTCCTGTACCAAGTCCGGAATATAGCAGTTGTTAGTTGATGTGTTTCCCGCGGTTTTGGTTTGTAACCCGGATTTTTTTCTCTCAACCGATTAAGGTAGATTTCAACCCAGTCAATCAACCTGTTTAATTAAGATAGATTGAATCACAACACATACGGTTCTGTGCTTATATCTTTAGACTGCATTGAAGAACTATGATTTTCTCGACAAGCAATAACAACTGAAGAAATGATCCATATGCTCACTCATTTATTGTTTATGTTATAAGTTATTCATTGTTTGAAACATCACGAACCTTATATGTATGTTGATTGTATGCAAGTTATTCTTTATTTGAATCAAAATGTTTTATGTGTTTTCCTTTGCTTTTAGTTATTCATTATGAATCATAATTTTTGTTCATTTACATATCATGTATATAATTAGTTCGGTATTGCAATATGGACCTTCAATTTATATGTTTTTGTGTATGAGCTTTTCATTATAATTGCAAAAAGTGCATGAGTTATTTATTTTTTGTATCGAAGCCTTGTTCTTTTAATGTCTTTGTATTTAGGATATTCTTTATTTGAATGGGGACTATACATGTGTACGTCAATCATTCATATTTTTCTGTATATAAGATATTCTTTATTTGAATAAGGACCGTACATGTGTATGCAATGCATGAATATGACTGTGTAAATAAGTTATTCTTTATTTGAATGGGGACCAACTATGTGTATTTCATGCATTCATTTGACTTTGTTTATAAGTTATTCTTTATTTGAACGGGGACCACACATATGTATGCCATGCATTCATTTACATTTGTATATAAGTTATTCTGTATTTGAACGGGGACCACACATGTGTATACCATTAGTTCAATTGTAATTGTATATAAGTTATTCTTTATTTGAACGGGGACCACACATGTGTATGCCATGCATTCATTTGCATTTGTATATAAGTTATTCCTTTTTTTGAATTTGGGACCTTACATTTATATGCATTGCTATCTCTTTTTTTATAAGTTTTTCATTATATGCATAAAAACCTTGCAATTAAGTTTTTTTGTATGTACATGATACCTCATTTGAATCTGGACCTTATATTGACATTTTGTTGTATATATCTTATACATTATTACAATCCGGAGCTTACATTTTTATGTTTATCAGTACCTCCTTATTTGAATCAAGACCTTATATTTTAATTTTTATAAAAGTTATACTTTGTTTGAATTATTCATAGATATAAGAAAATGTGGTATGAATGCCAATGAGACAACTCTCAATCCAAATCACAATTTGTAAAAAGTTAACCACTATAAGTCAAAGTACGGCCTTCTACACGGAACATTGGCTCACACATACATGCTTTATCCTTTGTTATTAACTTAAATATAATTTGAATTAGGATTACATTTATTCTCTGTTGTATATAACTTATTCTTTAATTTTTCTGCTATTTTAATATAACATTTCTTGATCGGTGTGAGAAAAATATTTCTCCTCACTAGTTAAATATCTATTCTCGGCAAATGACTGGTCGAAATTTAATTATGACGTCTAATTTTCTTGGTTTCATCTGAATTTCCTATTGTGACGTCATGAAAAAAAGGCGACCATGCCTAATGACGTCACATATAAAGAACACAACTGTGCAAATCTTTTAAAAGGAAGGATAAAAATCATTAGAGAAACAGATTCCACCACTATAACTCGTGTATTACGATATTTCCCCACTTTCAACAGTAAAATTCTAAGTATTTAAAAAGTTCGGCAAACCTCGCGCTTTAAATATTAAAATTTAACTGTCTCGAGTGAAGAAATATCGTAACACACTTGTTGCAGTTGTGGAATCTATATTTCTTTAGAAATTTAGTGTTGTAAATGTGTGTATTCTGTCTGTAATGTGCAGGATAGTGATTAACCTATGTCATTCTCAAAATGTTCAATATTATACTGTGTACCAGAGTTACCACCATCTCGAAGAATTTCAGACAGACATCAAGAACAAACAAAAATAATATATGGTCACAGTTATAGTATTTATACAATGTTCAAATAAGATTTGTGAGCCAGTTTCTTAGAAGCACATATTCGACCTACGACATGGTTCTATGAATGGCGTGTGCATCTTTAGATAACAAGCAAAAGTTCACAACTTAAACAGTCCATGTTATTTATCAGAAATACCTAATGCTGACAGTTATAACGGATATCATGTGAATGCTGCTTCCATCTTACTTAACGTTTTATTGAACAGCGGTATACTACTGTTGCCTTTATTTATCAATGTATGTGTAAATGTAATTTGTCCATTTAAAAAGCTAAAATTTAAAAAAAAAAAAATCAAGGAGCAAGGCACATTATACTTATCTTAAAAAGAGAGCTGAATCTAGTGATATACTTTATATACTGGCCATAACTTAAACATGTCAATGCTGTTCATTAAACAAATGCACGGATGACCTACAAATAACATTTTGTTCATTAATTCAATAAATGTACAACATGAAGTTGTGGTATCTAGTACGAGCTTTACATACCGGTAATCAATATATGCACAACAAGTAGTCAAAAAACATATGCTGAATGCTTACCACGCCCCTCTTGTTGAGAGGTGCACATACTTCCACCTGTCCACAGTGGTTGTCGTATGTCTTATCTGACTGTTCATTTGTATTTTAAAATTGAATTATTTGCAGTTTAATTTACTCACAACTTGTATAGACCCGAGGTGATTAAAGCTTGTAATCGTGTAAAGACATCTGTCTATCCTTGAAGGCTGTGTGTTGCCCCGGCTAATATTGATACAACCCCATCTTTTATAATTACCCATCAATGTTATATAGTTTAACAAAATCAAATGTTATCATTAACGGAACAAGTGAAACACGACTGCTATAATCCTGACTTGGTACAGGCATTTTCCGATAAAAAGGGTAGTTTAACCTGGTTTTATATCTATGTAAACCTTCCAATTGTAGGATAAAGATATGATCGTTTTTTTCAGTGTATTTAATATTGACATATGTACTACTTGTATATGATATTAATTATTTGCTTATGTTTATATATGTTCTGTAACATTATTTTCCTGACTATAAAGTATCAACCACTAGTCATGTTCATTCCTTAAAAGCTTCACCATGCTGTCACGTTTTCTCTATTTCTCTATTTGGTATACAATTTTTTAAACGGAGTGTGTACTGTTCCGGCTAGCCGGAAGAATAGGTAACAATTTCTATCTCCAGGCCATCCGTTTGCACATGAGCAAATGTTCAAAATCAAGAGCAATGTCTTGTGACGTGGACAATTTCGTGGATGTGATGAAGGATTTTAAACGCGCAAATGCAAAGGACGTTTGGAGAATTGAATATATATTCAATATATAAATAATTTTATATTTAAGGATGGCTTTTTGTCCTTATGAAAATTACAGAGAAGTTGGTTGCTTTAAACACAAATTTCCTCTACCTGTATCAATAGAGACAAATCACATAAAAGAAACGATTTACAGGAAAACGACTTAATCAGATTATCCTTAACTGCGTGATTTGTAAGTTCTACTTTAATGGAGATCTATGAACATGCACTGAAATGCCCTGACTGGGAAAATTTACCCGGCTTGAGGGAAAACCCCTCTTTTATTTAAATTTTATTCTGTTGTAGTTATGTTCTCAATAAAAATTATCATGCTTTGCTATTTTAAACACAATCTTCTTTTGAGCGTTTTACATGTGCCTACCCTTTTCTCTTATTTTCTGTTTAAAAACTATTCGCACATTTCAAATAAAAAAAATCGTGAAAAATCATTTGACGACTTCATTGAAACCAAACTTCAAGGAAATCTAAAATTCGGGATCTTCGTTAGGAATCATAGATATTCATTGAAGCCATGAGTCACTGGCCTGACTCCTAACCTTACAGTAATTTCATAGAAAGAACGTAAAAAGAGGTTTGTCATTTTTGAACCCCCATTCCCTTAGAAGCAAGAACAATATCTGAATATGCTATATTATTATGAAGTACATTTATTTGCATTTTCATTGGTTTTAGTGAATGTAAACTTTTTTGCAAAGTGATTTTAAGTCAAAAGTTTCTTTGCTGCATACCGATGTTGACAAATCTTTTGGTCTCTCTTGACAAACTGTTTATAGTTAAGGAGAATTAGGGTGTTCCAAAGAACAGCCAGTAGAAAACTAAATTGAAGTTTTGAGGAGTGTATTCCCATAGTAATTCTGTTTTTGATTTGATTTTTTTTTTTTTTTTTTTTTTTTACTATTTTCCAAAATTTTTATCATGAGCTTATAATTCGGAACGTGTGTGCGGAGACGAGCAAAAATGAATAGTTCCAATTTTTGGCGTTAGCACGGGAGGAAACGTATTGGCAATGCATTTTCCACCAGATGCTATAATAACCACTTAGGCAAACGCATATCAATTCTTCATTGTTATGTATGGCCAGAAAATATCAATAATAGCAATGAAAAGCTTTTCTTCAAGAAAGAATTGACATGTTTTGCTTTTTTCGAGCGAGCCGGAAAAATAGCAACCACCTTTTTTAAATGCTATTCATCTTTGTACTTTATTTCACCTTTTGACTATTTTGTGTCTTTTGTAGACGAAAAGCGCTTCAGACGTACACACTTTTAATCATGTAAGCCGGACTATGTCACACTTACGTACATATACACCAATATTTATAGGAGCTTATAGCGTGTTTCAGTGAGCAGTCAGATATGGGCATAGTTCACTTGGTTTTATGAGATGCAAGCACTCACTCAAATATATGGTTTGAGAAACAGGACAGCATCAGTATATCTGAAAGTGAACGTACATTGTAGCACATTTTGCAATATGTGTTTTCGTTTAATTCTGGAGAATGGTTTTATTAATTCTATTTGTTGATATTTTAGTCCATCGATCGCAACAAATATGTTGTCAATTACATATCCAATATCTTTTAAAATCATCACGGGTGTAGAAAAAGCTTTAGCAATACTTCATTTTAAGAGGGTTACACAGTTAGCTATATAACTTATCTCCCCCGAGGCCCTCATCATAGAAAACCTAGGTCTCCTCTTAATCCTCTGTAGGCCTTTTATGTCGTGTTCTCTCCTCATCTAGGTCTAACATCTTCATTCTCTGTCGACCTTTTATGTCGTGTTCTCTCCTCACCTAGGTCTAACATCTTCATACTCTGTAGGCCTTTTATGTCGTGTTCTCTCCTCACCTAGGTCTAACATCTTCATCCTCTATAGGCCTTTTATGTCGTGTTCTCTCTTTACTTAGGTCTAGAATCTTCATCCTCTGTAGGCCTTTTTTGTCGTGTTCTCTCCTCACCTAGGTCGAACATCTTCATTCTCTGTAGGCCTTTTATGTCTTGTTCTCTCCCCACCTAGGTCTAATATCTTCATCCTCTGTAGACCTTTTATGTCGTGGTCTCTCCTCATCTAGGTCTAACATCTTCATCCTCTGTAGGCCTGTTATGTTGTGTTCTCTTCTCACCTAGGTCTAACATCTACATCCTCTGTAGGCCTTTTATGTCGTGTTCTCTCCTCACCTTGGTCTAAAATCTTCATCCTCTGTAGGCCTTTTTTGTCGTGATCTCTCCTCACCTAGGTCTAACATCTTCATCCTCTGTTGGCCTTTTATGTCGTGTTCTCTCCTTATCTAGGTCTAACATCTTCATCCTCTGTAAGCCTTTTTTGTCGTGTTCGTATATTTGTTTGTTTTTATAGTGATTAAGATTATAACACAATGTTTACTGCTGTACCCCTATTTCAGACATTTTAACCTATTGTGTCTGTTTGTTTTGTTCACATATTGTTGTCAATATAATGGAATTTGTTGCGACTGTCATACAAGTGGGAGGTTTAGCTAGCTATGAAAACAGGTCTAATCCACAATTTTCATGACTGTACCAAGTCAGGTATATGACAGATGTTATCCATTCGTTTCATATGTTTCGAGCTTTTTAATTTTGCCATTTGATTATGGACTTTCCGTTTTAAATTTACTCGGAGTTCGGTAATTTTGGTTATTTTACTTGTTCCTCTACCAAGTTATAACCTATAAATCCTGTGTTAGCCTTTAATGTTCTCTCCTCACCTAGGTCTAACATCTACATCTTCTGTTTGCCTTCTAAGCTCCCCCTTTACATATAGGTCTAACATCACAATCCTCTGTTGGCTTTTTAAGCTCCCCCTTTACATATAGGTCTAACATCTCAATCCTCTGTTGGCTTTTTAAGCTCCCCCTTTACATATAGGTCTAACATCTCAATCCTCTGTTGGCTTTTTAAGCTCCCCCTTTACCTACATGTAGGTGTATCGTTTTAATCCTCTGTTGACCAGTTATGTCCCCCCCTTCAAAAATGTCTAACCTCTTAATCCTCTGTAGGCCTTTAATGTCGTGTTGTCTTTTAACCTAGGTCTCCTCTTAGTCCTCTGTAGGCCTGTTATGTCGTTTTTCTCTCCTTAACCTAGGTCTCATCTTAATCCTCTGTAGGCCTGTTATGTCGTGTTCTCCCTTCACCTAGGTGTCCTCCTAATCCGCTAGGCCTGTTATGTCGTGTTCTTCCATAACCTAGGTCTCCTCTTAATCCGCTAGGCCTGTTATGTCGTGTTCTTCCTCAACCTAGGTCTAGCTTCGTAATCCTCTGTAGGCCTATTATGTCGTGTTCTTCCTTCAGCTATGTCTCCTCTTAATCCTCTGTAGGCCTGGTATATCGTGTTCCCCCTTAACGTAGGTTTCCTCTTAATCCTCTGTAGGCCTATTATGTCGTGTTGTCCCTTCACCTAGGTTTCTTCTTAATCCTCTGTAGGCCTGTTATGTCGTGTTTTCACTTCACCTAGATCTGAATTTTTAGTCTTCTGTTAGTCTTTTATGTTCTCCCAAAACCTATGTCTTACAACTGAGTATACTGTATGTCTGTTTTTGCAAACATAATTTTATTTGGGAACCCTATTTTAGAAACATCTGTTTACCTGTTCGACGTTAAGCAACATTCATCAATCAATTATTCATAAACTGTTCAGTCAGAATTATATTCAGCCTTACATGGCAGACGGAAACACCAACACGAAATTAACAACAAGAAGGTTAGTAGAAGATAACTATTTATTAGTCGATATCTCGTTATTAGACGATATCTCGTTATTAGACGATATCTCGTTATTAGACGATTAAGAGAAAAGGAATAGGTGCATCACAGATATATTCCATGAACACGCACATGATTCTTGACAGAAAAATGATAGATCATGAACATAATATGTGACCGTGACTGGGCAAATGGGTTCAGATGAGAATTATACATATTATCAGTTTTTCAAAATCATTGCCTCGGCAGTTCTGTATAGCTAGGGATTATAGATTTTGCTATAATAAATGGCTTTTGGATAGTACTACAACAAGGGGCCAAAGAATTTCTGGGATAAGCATTCCTAGAGGACGAAAATTTCGTCCGAAACATGGAAATAAAGCCAGATTCTATAAAATACCCATTGGGGGCACCCACTTTCCGACCCATTGTCTCAGTAGTTCTTTATGGCTAGGCAGTATAGACGCTGCCCTAAGGAATAGCTATTGGATAGTACTACAACGTGAGGGTAAAGAATTTCTGGGATAAGCATCCTTTAAGGCCGCAAATTTCGTCCGTAACACGGGAAAAAAGTCGTATTTGATAAAATATGATCTGGGGTCACCCACTTGTTCAAAACCATTGCCTCGGCAGTTCTGTATGGCTAGGGATTATAAATTCTGCTCTAATAAATAGCTTTTGGATAGTACTACAACAAAGGTCTAAGAATTTCTGGGGTAAGCATTCCTAGAAGACGAAAATTGCGTCCGAAACATGGAAATAAAGCCAAATTGTTTAAAATACGCAATGGGGGCACCCTTTTTCCGACCCATTGTCTCGGTAGTTCGTCATGGATAGGCATTATAGACGCTGCCCTAAGGAATAGCTATTGGATAGTAATACAACGTGAGGGTAAAGAATTTCTGGGGTAAGGATTCTTAAAGGCCGAAAATTTCGTCCGTAACACGGGAAAAAGTCATATTTGATAAATTATGCTCTGGGGTCACCCACTTGTTCAAAACCATTGCCTCTGC